GGCCTAGAACTCACTATGGAGACCAGACTGCCCTTGAACTCACAGAGATCCGCCTGCCTCCTGCCCTCCAACTTCTTTCATGTCCCTCCCACTTCCCCTCCCAACTTAACATATTTTCTTTCTTTTTTTAAAAAATATTTTATTATTTTTATTTTATGTGTATGAGTGTATTGTCTGCATATGTGTAAGCGCCCATATTGTGCAATGCCCTCAGAGGTCAGAAGAGGGTGTTGCATTCCTTAAAACTGGAATTATGGATAGTTGTTAGCTGCCATGTGGGTGCTGGGAATCAAACCCGGGTCCTCTGCAAGAGCAGTCAGTGCTCTTAACCACTGAGCCATCTCTCCATGCCCACCCCCATTTTCTTGATTGTTGAGTGATATGGAAGGGCCCAGCCCACTGTGGCCAGTGTCACCCTTCAACAGATTGTCCTGTATTGTATAAGGAAGTAGGCTGGGCACAGGTCAGGGGAGCAAGTCAGTAAGCAGCATTCCTTCACAGTCTGTGTTTCAGCTCCTGCCCTGAAGCCTGCTTTGGCTTCCCTTGATGGTGGGTTGTGCCATAAGCCAAATAAACCCTTTCCTCCTCAAGTTGGTTTTGGTCAGCGTTTTTATCACAGCAATATGAAAGCAAACCAGAACAACCCATACTTGGGATACAGCTTACTCAGATTTTATAAAACACTGTTCTACTGTAGTCAAAAGCAAATCTAGGACCAGCAAGATGGCTCAGCAGGTAAAGGCAGCTGCTGTGGACCCTGACAACCTGAATTTAATCCCTGAGACCCCCATGGTGGAAGGAGAGAATCAACTCCTGAAAGTTGACCTCTGTCTCCACAAATGTGCCATGGCATGTGTGCTGTCTCAAAAAGAAAAGAAACACGGGCTGGAAAAATGGCTCACCAGTTAAGAGTGTGTACTGCTCTTCCAGAGGACCTGAGTATGATTCCTAGCACTCATGTTGGGCATCTCACAGCGGCCTATAATTCCAACAGCCCTACACTCACATACACAACACACATAATTAAAAAATAATAAAATACTTTTTAAAAAAGAAACACTGCCAGGTGTGGTGTCCACACCAGCACTTGGGAAGCAGAGGCAGGAAGATTTCTGTGAGATTGAGGACAGCCTGCTCTACATAGCGTGTTCCACACCAACAGTGGCTAAGGGAGATCCTGTCTCAGAAAACCAAAACAAAAACAAAAACAAACAAACAAAAAACCCACAAAGTGTATCATTTTTTTTTTATACCCTAGTTCTCAACTTTGATTTTCTGCTTTTATGGTCTGAGAGTACGTTCTTCAGTACCCTAGTGGGCATCTTTTCCTGTTGAAAACTTATCAGAGGGGGCTGCTGCTACAACTTATCTTGAGGCAAGACTAATATGCTCATCATTTCCCTCTCATTTTTAAATTTTATTTTATGTATACAAGCATCTGTGTTATGCAATGCCCATGGAGGCCAAAAGAGGGCATCGTATCCACTGGAACTGCAGATACCAACAGTTGTTAGCCACCATGTGGGTGTGAGGAATCAAACCTGGGTCCTCTGCAAGAGCAGCCAGTGCTCTTAACTGCTGAACTATCTCTCCAGTCCCCATTTCCCTCACTTAAACACCCAAGATTCCCCTCATCCTTTGTCAGACCTTTGATGTGGTGAACATGTTGGGGTAGCTTAGGACCCGCCCCTCCATTTCCAATTTAAGCCACAGAGGATGGAGGGTAGTGGGAATTTCAACTTCTTTAGCTCTGAAAGGAAGTCTGGACAGCATAGCACAGTATCCATGAGCGTTTGTGTCACACATTTCCACTATTCAGTATGACCTTGGCATCTACTTTAAAGAGATTTTTCAGTCTGAGAAGGAAAGACAGCCGATGTGCTTTATTCCCACAAACAAACACTCATCATTCCCCCACTGGCAGGAAGATGAAGGATGCATTTTGTAACAATGCATTTGGTACCCGAGTAGACCCCTGCCCAGACTGAAAGAAGGAACAGGTAACCTATCAAAAAAAAAAAAAAAAAAACCCACACCAGGAGGTTCCCTTTGGAAGCTACAACATTGGATTTACCCAATGAAAACTCTGCTCCGGTTTATTGTTTGCAAAGGCCTAGGAAACAGGAGAATAAGCTGGGACCTACCCAGGCTCACCATACAAAGCCTGACAGAGTGGCCAACTCCCAAGAGATGTTTGGTTACTCTTTGCTGGAGGACTGAATGGCCTACGTGGTTAACTTTTCTTTCATCAGTGTGGGGATCTACTTCATCGTGCTAGTTCCTCTTTCTCCTAGAATTTATTTTCCATACTTTATATTTTCCTAAAATTCTCCCCTTCATCCATTTTTATAACTCTAAGTTCCAAGAAGATACAGTCTGGGTTTGTTTCGTCTAGTCACATGTCATCAGCATCTCCACAAGCCACAGGGTGGCTTCCAGGGAATATTTGTTGTATGAGTGTGTGTGTGTGTGTGTGTGTGTGTGTGTGTGTGTGTGTATGTGAAGAAGGGTTATTTTGTAAAAACGAAGGAAGCAGTAATCCATCTCCTAATAGTGACTCATTGTTTCCAGGCCAGCCTTAGCTCATCTACAACACGCACAAATAAAGTTCCGTGGCAAGGCAGTTGGCTGTAACAATATTTAAAAATACCATTCCTTGGGGAACAGCCGGGGATTCTAGGCCCTTCTAGGTATTCTGTGATCTGTGATCTCCTGGCTAGGGTACCCTTCTGGAGCCTTCCTTGGGTTCTCAGGCACTTTCCCGCGTTCTCTCCCGGTCCGCATTTCAATGTTTCAGTGAAGGGCCTGGTATGAGCCAGGCACTCTGCTTGTCCCTCTACAAATCTAGTTCTTTCCATCGAAGTTTTCACACACTACATTGTAGTTTTCACTCATGACACGTTTTCCAGGGTCCGGGTGGAGACTGTAGGGCTGTTCAAGTTCTGGGAGGCAGCCTCGCAGCGCCTCCTGGCGGCTGTCCAGAGGGGCGGCGGCCGATCTTTTCGCGTGGCCCCCAGGCCGTGGTTTTGCCTATGGTCCTCGAGGATTCCAAACTGTTGGGAGTTGGACAGATTTCAGCCTTGGCTCCCGGAGGCTCAAAGACCCTCCCTGGGAAATGGAGAGGGCCTCACAGAAAAGCAAACATGGTAAATGGGGTATGGAAAAAGGGTGATGTCTGGGGTTCCAAGCCTGCCTAGCTTTTCTTTCTCTGTAAAATAGCTGTCACATTGCTGGTTTGGGAGTTGACTTCTCAGGATTGCTTATTCATCAAGATTTAATTTGCATAGAGCAAGACAGTCTTTTTTAATGGGCAGTTCAGTATATACCACCGTTGAACCATTACCACAATCAGGATAGGGAACAGGCCCACCACTCCTAAATTACCCTGCGACTGCACCTTGGAAGCCAATTCTTTTCTCCACCCCAATTTCTTCCACTTTTTTTTTTTCTTCCATGTGGGTCCCAGGGATGGAACTCAGGTCATCAGGCTTGGCTACAAGTGTCTTTACTTGCTGAATCATCTTGCCTGCCCCTCTGCTATCTTTTGAAAAGTTTCATAGACTGCATCATAAGCATGTTTAACGTGTAAGCTGAAGTTGGACATGGACAAGGACATTTGTGGAAAGAGCTATGAGTCCCATGAACTCTCCACAGCTGGGCATGGGAAGGTGGGGAAACCTACCTCCCAGCAGTGACCATGTAAACAACACCAGAGTCTCATGACCTTGGCAAAGTCTTGGTGAATTGCTGAGTTGTATGTGGAATATGGGAAAGGTGTGTTAAAAACAGCTCTCCCCAGAAGCTTCCTGTGTTCTGAAAAGCAACCTTCTAGAAACTTCCTCTGGGGAAATTGCTTATTGTTTCAAATCACTCCTTGGTCCCAAGCCTTTGGATTTTCCTCCCAGATTCTGGCTCCTTCTACTTCTGTCCATGTCCACTGTCAGGACCAGCATGCTTGGGTGACTGGAATATTTCTTCATTTCTCATTTCCACTGTGGGCTCCATTATACCACACAGCACTCAGAATATTGATTTTCTTTTTCCAATATTATTTTTAAGAGTGTATTGCCTGCATGCAAATGCACCTGTGTCATGCAATACCCACAGAAGCAAGAAAAGGGCATCAGATCCCCTGAAATTGGAGTTAGGGATGGTTATTAGTTGCCCTTTGGTTGTTGGAAACTGAACCTGCTTTGCAAGAGCAATCAGTGCTTTTAACTGCTGAACCATCTTTCTAGCCCCTTGATTTTCTTTAAAAGAATGAAAACATGATCAGAGCCAGATTAAATTCTAAGATTTCTTTATGGTAAGCCTGCTTACCAACCCATCTGCTCAGCCACACCACTTATCTTCTACTGGCCTCTTTCAGTTCCAACAAAGCCTGCTCCTTCTTGTCTTAGAACCTTGATTCTGTTTGCTCCCTCCCATCTTGATTTGCCTAAATATTTCGGGTTGGACCTCTCAACCTTGATTCATGTTTCTCCTTGAGGGAAGCCTGGTTCCCTTCCCCATATGAAACCTAGACTCCCTGTTGTTCACTCTTGGAGCTCTCTACCCTTTTCCTTCATTGCATGTATTCAGTTTGGCATTCAATTTAAATTTACATAACTTACTGATAGCCGTGTTCTCCACTAGGCTGTGGAATCCATAAGGGCAACAAACTCATCTAGTTCAACATGGTAAAACCAGGGTCCAAGTATATTGCCTGCATCAATCACTATTTGTTAAGTGAATGGATAATAACTGATACTGATTAAACACCCAGGATGTTACTAGGCCACTGTACAAAGGCCCTTTAGCTGTCTCATTTAATTCCGCCACACTTTACAATACTCACCTTACCAAAGGGAAAACTGAGGAATAGGACGGTTATGAAAGTATCCCAGCAGTCTAGTTTCAGAATTCCAGATTACTGCTATGCTGTTGTCTTTTAAGAACTGAAACATGTTTCCCTCTTTCTCTTAGTAAAAGGAGTCAGCCTCAAGGTCAAGGCTTCTGTACACAGCTTGAGCAAAATGAGGCAGACCAAACTCACTGTGGGCAGCCTTGGATTGGGTCTGATCATCATCCAGAATGGGCCATACCTCCAGATTAGCCACCTCATCAAGAAAGGGGCTGCAGCTGATGATGGGACACTCCAGCCAGGTGACTGTGGGTTCCATATGCCTCCTTCCCACCTGCCTTCAGGGAATCACCATGATGATATGGTGATGATGATGTCTGAGAATTTTCTATGGGGCAACCAATTGCTACCATTTGTATAATGTTCATTTTTGGGTGTGTTAATTCATTTGATTCTTATGATAACAATCTGGTGGGAAGTGCTTTTATCCTTTTACAGGTCGGGAAACAGAAGCTTTCATCTTGTAAGTGGGATACAAACACAGACCTAGTATCACTCCAGAGCCTAGGACTATATGTGCATAAAGATTTCTTCCTTCCTGGGTGGTATGGTATTAATCACAGCTATCACTGGAGTTGTATGAGCTCATCCCACTCTCCCAATAATCCCAGAGGTAGATTCTGTATCAAACTATCACACAAGGAATTGGATCCTTAGTTATTGCTGGAATTTAAACCCTCCTTTTCACCAGTGCCACCTCATTTCTCAGATCTCATGCATTTTCTTTTTCTTTCTTTGTCTTTTTTTGGTCTTTTTTGAGACAAGGTCTCCCTGTAGCCCCAGCTGGCCTGGAACTCACTATGCAGACCAGGCTGGGTCCTGTGGGCTTTTCTGCTTCGTCTATGCTTCTTTGGAGTCAGGTGATAACTGATTGTTGATAACCAGGCATACATTCCAGGATGGTAGGATGGGACAGAAGCATGTGCTGGTTCATGCCTATGACATGGAATCTCATGGCAGAACTGTAGTGGGCTCTTTGAAGTTAGTGGCAATCTAGAGTTCAATTTAAACAAAAGGTTTTATTTCATTGTTAATTATGTATATGTGTGTGGGTATGTGCTGAAGAGTGCTGTGCCCAGAGTCCAGAAGAGGGCATTGGATCTGAAGATGGAGTTATAGGTGGTTGTAACTTGTAATGTGGGTGTTAGAAACCAAACTCCAGTTGTCTGGAAGAGCGGCAAATAAGCCATCTCTCCAGATTCAGTTCAATTAGAAATATTTTATTATAATTTTTAAACTTTTTAAGTGTCTGAGTGCATTGCCTACATGTATGTAAGTGCACCTGTGTTGTGCAATGCCCGTGGAACTGGAGTTATGGACAATTGTTACCAACCATGTGGGTGCTGGAAACCGAACCTGGGTCTTCTAAGAGCAGCCAGTGCTCTTAACTGTTGAATCATCTCTCCAGCACCACCACCCCCAACCCCCTGCAAGCTCAATTTTTATATCCACCTACAGAGGACTTAAAAGATTTACCTGGGGCTGGAGAGATGGCTCAGTGGTTAAGAACACTGGTTGTTTTTGCAGAAGACCCATGTTTGAATCCCAGCACCCATATGGCAGCTAACAACTGTCCGTAACTCCAGTTCCAGGGGATCTGATGGCCTCTTCTGTCCTCTGGATGACATGGGTGCACTTACCTACATGCAGGCGGAACACTCATACACGTAAAATAAAAAAAAATAAAAATATAAAAAAGATTTACCCACAGTGTTGGCCCAGTTGTTGGGTCTGCACTTGAGAAATGAACCACAATGAGTATTTGTCCCAGGCATTGTGCAAAATGTTCCCATTATTACTGAAAATGTTTGCAATACTTCTGGAATACAGACAATGGAATTTAGGCACTTCAAGGAATGTAATAATTGGTTCAAAATATACAGATAATCAGCCAGGTGTCATAGTCCATACCTGTAATCTCAGCACTTGGAAGGTTAGAGACAGAGGGATCAAAAGTGCAAGGCCATTCTGGGCTACGTAAGTCCCTGCCTGGAAAAAAACAAAAAAGAAAAATAACAGACAGACACACAGACACACAGACATGCAGACACGCACACATGAACAAAGAGCTAAGTTTGTGGTCAGAGCTTGGATTTGAACCCACCATCTCCTAGAAAACCCACACCATGTTATCAATTGTCCAATAAAGAGAAGTGAGCTTTCAGTGCAGAAGGGATTCTGGGCATCAAATAAATCTCTTCATGACAATTAGTTTCTATGCCATTCAATCATGTTGGACAGTGATCATGGGATTTGCTATTTGATATCTGCCAGCTTCGCTACTTCTCATTCATGTGCTTTAAAGTTCTATGTCCTTTGTTTCATCTTGACTTCCTAATGCGGTGTTGGTTTATTATGGCTGTGTGGCTTTAGCAGTCTGACGTACAAAGCCTTAAGATATTAATGCAGTTTTTTTTTTGGGGGGGGTCTTTTTGAGGCAGGGTCTTCTGTAGCCCTGGCTGACCTGGAACTCACTATGTTGAGCAGGCAGGCCTTGAAGTCACAGAGATCCATCTGCCTCTGCCCGCCCCCAAGTGCTGGGATTAAAGGTGTGTGCCACCATGCCTGGCTTAGATATTAATGCAGCTTTGACAGTGGATAGCAGCCTAGCACTGACGTCATTCATTCACTCAGCCCTACCATGCTCATTCATTCAGTCGTTCAGCATTTCCTTCTGTGTGCAGGTCCTGGACAGCCAAACAAATATGGTCACTAACCACTCAGAACGTGTACAACTTACAGCCTGGTTAGGAGGAACAGAGAAAATCTATTCTTCAGTAGTGGCATGGCTGGTGCAAAGTTGATTTAATATAGGTAATCAAAACAAGTTTATACAATGTCATTCCCATAGCCTATTAAAGCAGAATAAAAAGATGTGTAATGAGGTTGGTATTCATAAATACCAAATTGGTGTCTCTATGAAGGGCAATGTTAATATCTACTGCCAGAGTAATCACATTCATGCCTGACACATCTGGTTTACAGCCAGAATGGTCAGGGAATGAAGCTGTTTATTTCTGCTCTCTTGATAAAAGCCACCCTCTTACAACATAATTAAGCAGAACACCAAGCCATAGCTTTCAGCGATAAACATTCCTTTTAAATAAACTCACCCAGAGGTTACATTTTGCTATTGTAACTAACCGCGGCAGGGACGAGCATAGCTCCTGGATTTCTCCTTCCTTTCTGAGGCAGGGTCTCATTATGCAGCTCAGGTTAGCCTTGAATGATAGTCCTTCTGCCTCAGCCTTTCTAATGCTGGCTGTACACAGGTGGTTTCGCCTCCAGCTGCTTCTCAAGACGAAAGTAGGTTTCCTCTACTTTTCTAGGTACTCGCTTTCTGGAATAGTGTGACTTTTGTTTCTGATCGGATCTGGCACTAGAGAAATCTGTCTTTAGCATTCCTCATAGGCTCCCTTGCCACCAGCATAATTCCTAACTGTAGCCCACTGGGATGCAGTATCGGCCAAGATGCCTCTTCTTGAGCCCTGAGCTTGACTTTCATCTGTCTTGAATTAAGGTGATTGGAGATTCCTAGTTTCACATGCATGGACAGGCAAACATCTCATGTCAATTATAAAGTCCCCATAACACTGGCAGGATGGCAGTCCTAGTGACTGAAAACTAAGATTTTCTTTAGTGCAAGTCTGTCCTTAAAGGGCAAAGCTTTTGTGATCTCTCTGTAAGGTCTCTGCATGTTCCTCATTGCCAAGCAACAGGAAAATTTTGTTAAGGCACTGAATTTAGGATACCAGGTATGACAGAATTGCTAGAAAGGCTGGAGAACCAGATTTGGAAACCGGAAAGATTAAAGGGCCCTGGGATCTGAATTCCCACTGCAGCTTCCTCTGAAGGCTCAATGACTCAGATGGGAGCGCCCGGTGGCTGGGTCAAGTTTGCAGTCTGCATCCTAGCTCCTGGGGGGTGGGGGTGGGGCGAGGTGGGTTAGTCGGTACAAGTCAGTAATTGTCTCTGTGGCTTTCTTCATTGGAGGCTGTGGGGCTTTGTTACTAAGATGTAGTTCTTGCCCCACCTGCTGGGTGCTGAGAAGCTCCATGATGACCACAATGCTCCCCATGCTCCAGCACTGTTTCCTTTTTAATTGAATTTTTGAGAATTTCATACATCTTTTTAAACATGTTTAGACCCCTCTCTCCTATTTATACCCCCCCTCACTGGATTTCATGCATTGTCATACATGTTAAGGCACATTTATGTCCCCAAATGTTCCTCTAAGTCCATTCACTGGAGCCTAGTCAACATATTTAGTGTCACTCCCTCAAAGAAAAAACTAGCTGTCCCACTCCCAGCAGTCATCCGTTGCCAATACCTCCTCAGCTAAGGCTCCAGCAGTTTTCAACTGAGGGACCTAGCTCTCAGTTCCTTTGAGCAGCTGCTGGTAGTGGTGGTGCATTCTAGTAGGGTATGCTGAAGACGTAGAGCCAAAAGAGCAACAAGCTTGCATTCCTTTGAACTAACATTCTGCATTTACATAGTCTAAGCATAATTAATAAAAGCTCACTGTCCATTGTTTTGCATATAATTATTTCCCTAACTTAATTTGGCTTGGGGCAAACATTTAAAATAGAAGCCTTGGGGGCTGGAGAGATGGCTCAGTGGTTAAGAGCACCGACTGCTCTTGCAGAGGACCCAGGTTTGATTCCCAGCACCCACATGGTGGTTAACAACCATCTGTCGCTCCAGTTCCAGGGAACCTGATGCCCTCTTCTGACCTCTGTGGGCATTGCATGACACGGGCACATTTACACGCATGCAAGCAATACACTCATACACATAAAATAAAAAAAAAAAGCATTAAAAAAAATGGAAGCCATGCTGCTTTGTTTAGTTTCTTTGCTGTGCAGGGCCTGGAAACTGGCAGGCAGGCAGGATAGAAAGCAGGGCATTTGCTTATCCCGTAATCTAAGTGGCTCTTTTCTTCACTAGTAGTAACCACTCATTTTATTTGGAACTAATATATATTCAGAATCCCAAAGTAGGGCTCGGAGTATAAATGGTTTTTAGCCTCTGCTAAGCCAAGAACTTCAGAAGTATCTCAAAAAGGCTATTGCTATTAAGAAACTTCTTGGTTGGCCATGGTACACCCCTTATATCTCAGCACTCTGGAGGCAGGGGCAGATGGATATCTGTCAGTTGCCAGCCTGGTCTACATAGTGAGTTCCAGGACAGCCAGAGCTACACAGTCTCTGTTTAAAAAAAAAAGAAAGTTCTTGTAAGCATTCTTCAAGAACACTCATGTCAAAGAACTGAATGTTTTGAATAAGACTGAAGTCTGGCTTTGGTTCAAAACTGTCCATTATTGTGATGGTTGGTTTTAATGTCAATTTGCCACAGACTAGGATTAGTAGGGAGCGTCAAGGGAGGCACTGATGACTGCCCTAACTCTTGTGGAAGTGGGAAGACCTGTCTCAAATGCTACACTAGTAGTAGCTCAGGTAAAAGGGCGTGGCAGAGAATATTGCCTTTTTGCAATATTCTTTGGTCTTCCCTCTTGCCTCAGGCATGGTTTGTCCTGTTGCCTCCTTCCCGATATCAGAACCAGTGTTTCCAGGCTTTCATCGTTGACCAAGGACCAGCAGCTCTCCAGGAACCCTCTAGGTTTTCAGTCCTAGACTGGCACTGCTGAGGTCCCTGGCCTCAAAGACTGAACAGCTACTGGGTTCTCAGCCTCTCAGGTGTGAGACAACTGTTACTTCAACATAAGCTGATTAAGCATTCTTTTAATATAGTCATCCTATTGGGTCTGTTTCTCTAGAGAACCCTGACTCATAAGTATGAATCAATAAAATATTTTCAATAAAGCAACCAAGTAATATAACCCTTTTCTCAATTGTATTTTATTTATTTTTATTTTGTGTTTTGCCTGCATGTAAGTACACCTGTGTATGCAATACCCACAGAGGCCAGAAGAGGGCATAAGATCCCCTGGAAGAACAGCCCGTGCTCTTAACTGCTGAGCCCTGTCTCTAGCCCCCAATAAGGCCCTTTTCAATCTACTAACTTTACTTTTTTCTCTTTTTCAGGTGATATTCTGATTAGTGTTGGCCATGCCAATGTGTTAGGATATACCCTTCGTGAATTTTTAAAGCTTTTGCAAAATATCATCATAGGAACAGTTCTACAAATCAAGGTTTACCGAGACTTTATTGATATACCACAAGAATGGCAAGAAGTATATGATTTAATCCCTGAGACCAAATTTCCAGTACCACAGTAAGTAGCTTACTTAGGAACTGTTACAGAACTCCCAGGCCTGAGGCATAGGTTATGGTTTAACATGAGAATCACCCAATGGTAAGAACCACAGGAAGGGCTACCGACATTGCCAGAACTTGGTGAACTTCTAGAATCTTTTGCAAAACACATCTGCAGGACCTCACAGGAGGCAGTATGAGAAAGCCACCTTGGAGTTAAAAACCAGCAGTCATTGATGGGAACTTTGTTCCATCTACCTGCATGCACTGTGCCCGTCTAGTCAGCCCTAAAACATACGTGAGAAGGGCCTGCAGTAATGGTTCAAGTGGATAAAGGGCTTGCTGTGTAAGTATGAGGATCTGAGTCTGGGTCCTCATAAAAGGTAAACATGGTGGCATATGCCGAACCCCAGAGCTCGCAGGACAGAGACAGGAAGATCCCCAGAGCTAATGTTGGTCAGTCAGCCAGTCTTGAGACCCTGTCAAAAAAAAAAAAAAAAAAACAAGGTGGAGAGTGATAGAGGCCAAGGCCTACCCTCAACCAGTGGCCTTCTTATGTGCACACATACACACGCAAACTATGCTGAGAATTCTATTTCCTTGATTAACTTCTTTCAGTATCCTTTCCAACAACATTCAAGCCTCTTATGCTCCTCCCTTCTTAGCAAGCAACCACCCCAAGTCTGCTCCCTTCCCTGCCCCTCTTGCCTTGCCCTGTTCCTGTCTCAACCCGACGGATGAAAAAGCTGTTAGACCTCTCCATTTCCTCAGGAGACACTTCCTAGGTACCCCTGTCTAGGAATAGCTTTTACCCTCAGCTAAGGCCTCTTCCCAGGGTCTCCTGCAGCCTTCATGGTGAAATTCCAGGTGGCTCTTGCTGGCTTTTGTTTTTGTTTTTGGCAGGGTTTCCCTAGTCATAGCCCGCCTGGAACTCACTATGTAGACCAGGCTGGCCTCCATCTCAGAGATCCACCTGTCTCTGCCTCCTGAGGGCTGGGATTAAAGGGGTGAGTGCCACCATGCCCAGCACTTACTTGCCTTTTAAGCACCACTAGACTCTTTACAACTACCCACTCTTTATTCCCACCCTTGGCATATCTACCTCTTCCGTAAGACAACCCCGACTTTCCTATTACCTCTGGCCACTTCCTGTCTTCTAGGCAGTCTCAGTGCCTATGATTTGTTACCATCCACATACCAATCACTTGTAAACTGCATTATTTCCAAACTTGTATTAAACCCACTTATTTCCATTTATATATACAACAAATTCCTAAATTTATGCTTAAAAGCCAGTTGTATTAGTTATCTTTTCGTATCTGTGACCAAAATGCCTGAGAGAACTTAAGAATTTATTTTGGCTCATGGTTTCAAAGGGTTTGGCCCCTGGGCACTTGGTCCCATGTATTTGGGCAGAACATGATGGTGATGGGAAATGTATGGTTGAAAAGCTTCACCTCAGGTGGCGGGGAAGTGGAAACAGGAAGGGGCTAGGGACAGTGTATCTCCAGGAACCCCCACTGACCTATTCCCTCCAACTAGGTCTTCCTTCCTGGTTTCCTCCAATTCCCAAAAACCAATGGTCTCCAGAGGCCATGTCTTAATGGGGTAGGATTTGCCTAGTCAGCAAGCCATAAATGTAGGGTTATGCATGATTCTTTCATCTCCTCTATCATTCTGTCAACCAATCATTAAGCCTTCTCATTGCTTTGTTTTTGTTTTTTTTTGAGACAGGGTCTCCCTGTAGCCCCAGCTGGACTGGAACTATGTAGACCAGGCTGGCCTCAATCTCATGGAGATCCACCTGCCTCTGCCTCTCAAGTGCTGGGATTAAAAGCACGCACCAAAACACCATGCACTACTTTGTGTCTTGTCAAACTGCCTATTTTTCCCCATTACCACTGTTCCAAAATCACCAGTTGGTCTCCTTGCACCTGCCCTTGCTTTTTGTTTATTCTCTACACAGAATGTTTATTCTCTTCTGCAAATATGATCATGGCATGTTCCAGCTGAAAGATTTTAAGATCTCTTGGTCTTAGGATAAATGCCCAAGTCCCTACCATGGCCTGGCTGAGTGCCACTCTTATGGTCCTCCAGTTCTCTAGGCTCTTTGCTTCTACCTTATGTAGTTCTGAGTACACCATTCTGAGAACTTCGTCCATTTGTACTTCAAGGCTCGCAGTGCAAACTTTCTCTAGAGGCCTTCCTACAGGAAGTGTTAGTACAGCCAAGACCACCTGTCATGTGTTCTCATACTCGGAGTACTCTCTCCATAGACTGCAATTTTTTTTTTTTTTTTTTTTTTTTTTTTTTTTTTAGAGACAGGGTCTCCCTGTAGCCCCAGCTGTCCTCCCAGAACGCATTGTTGAACTCACAGAGATCCACCTGCCTCTGCCTCCCAAGTGCTGGGATTAAAGGTGTGCGCCACCATGCCTGGCCATAGATTGCAATTTTAATTAAACTACTGATATCAGTTTTTCCCTGGTCTCATGTTCTACACAACACTCCCTGACATACCTGCTCTTAGAATAGTCCCTGTAGTCCTGTTAGAGGTAAGCTCTCAGAGGGCCAATTAGGGGATTTGTTAATTTTTCATTCTGGGCAAGTCCCATGGTAGGTTTAGGGGAACAAGACAGATTCCATTCTTGTCTTCATGGAGTTTACATTTTCCCAGGGAAACAACTGCTCTTTCGGAGTGGGAGGTGAGCAAAGCACATCTGGGCTACATCGGACCCTTGGGTCCCAAGTTTGAGTCTGAAGAAATAAAGATGATATATAAAGGCCATTTTCTAGTCTTTGTCTGAGCCATAGATCTTTGAGCAGTGCACAGCAACAGTAACCTGCTGTTTAGCAATTCTAATGGAATTAAGGACCACTCTTAGCAAAGCACTGAGCAAAGCAATACTTAAGAGGTTTAACCAGGAGCCAGTAACACTGTTTTGACTTGAGTCATCAGGTGTTGGTGTTTTTTTTTTTTTTTTCATTAAACTTTTTTTTTTTCCCCTTCATTTCAAAAAATTTCAAAATCAAAAGTATGATATATAGTTGCCAAATCCGCAAATATCTCATGGAAAGAATCAGTATCTCTGGTTTCTCCTGAAAAGTCTGCATTCCCACCTGGTGACAGACTCCCGGCATACCTCCTCTTAGAATAATCCCTGTAGTCCTACTAGAGGCTTGAGTGAAGGAGCAGATCAGGCAGACTGGAGAAAAATGCTTTCTCACAATCAGGCCAATATTGACTTGATTAAAAATTGTCAAGCATGGTGGCACAAACCTTAGATCCCAGCACTGGAGAGGCAGAGGCAGGCAGATCTCTATGAGACCGAGGCCAGCCTGGTATATACAGAGTTCCAGGATAGCTGGGGCTACAAGAAGACCCTGTCATTAAGGAAAAAAAAAAAAAAAAGTTTTCTGCAATGATGGAAATGTTCTGAGTTGTTTCATATGCTAGCCACTAGCCACAATGGGAATTTAAAATTTTATCCAAGCGTAATTTAAAATCAATAGCCACACAGAGCCCTTGTATTGGACAGGGTGACTCTAAGCATTTTTATTACACTGAGAAATTTGAAATCAGAGTATTAAAATGTGAGGATAGCAGGCTGACTATTCAAAAGCAAAAAGAAATAGCAAAACTTGAATTTCATGTGGCTAAAGCCCCCAAACTTACAGCATAGTACCAAAGAGAGCTGAGTTCCTTTCTTAAGCAAATACAGGTAAGGGTCTTATTATGTGAGGGGATAGGAAAGGAACAGAGGGGCAGGAAAGGTTCTTTCAGTTACCAGATCTTGGATGCAGCTGGCTATATGATCCTTTGGATAGGCCTACTGCTTCCAGGGAACCTTGAACCCTGATGTATTCCTTATCTGGTGCCAGGTTAGCTCTATCATGTATGCTTTACCACTGCTTAACCAAGGATACCTCCTGAAATCTTTAAAAAAAATAACTTGGGGTAGGGGGTGGAGAGATGGCTAAGCAATTAAGAGTGCATACTGCTCTTGGGTCCAGAGGACCCAAGTTTGGTGGCCAGCACCCACATCAGGCGGGTCACAACCACCTGTTAATTCTAGCTCTAGAGGATCTGACACCCTCTTCTGAACTCCATGGGTATTGCACTGAAATGTACACATATCCACATAGTTAAGGAAAAGTAACTTGGATTCTGTTTTTTTCCAATCATTTTATGCTGGATAAACAAAGTCACACCTGCATCATCCACATTTCAACAATCAAGCTGAGTGTAGGGGCAAATTAAAAAAAAATCTTGAAAGCTTTTGGATGACAACAAACATGGGTAAAAGGGTACTGCAAAAATTTTTATCTGTGAGCTACAATGAAAAGCACCGTGACAGACTTACCAATAACTAAGAGGCTGAAGACCCCTGAGACCCCCTATTTCCTGACTCCCCTTTTGTTATTGTCATATGAGCCATGAGAACAGGGTTCAGGTGCAGAGGGCCAGCTGACCCTCATTCTAGGTGCAATGAAATTAACTCATCCTTTAAGGCCTAATACATTAGTCGGTGGCCTGGCTTAAGTCTGTGCAAAGTTTTTTAAAGTAGTGTGAAATAATGTAAGGCAAGATTTATTTTTACAATTGGTAAAAAAATTAAAAGGTACTTTGAAAAAGAGAACAACTTTAATGAATCAGATACTGCCAAACTAATTTGTACTATGTATGTGTATATTTGTGTTTGTGTACACACATATTTACCCACCCACCTTCCCTCCCTCCCGCCTATCTATACCTACCTACCTACCTATTTAACTATAAAATGAGCTGAAGCAAGCAAGTTATAAAACATCTTGAAATGGATTCTTAGTGCTGGAACATTTAAAGTCCCCTAACAAGATGTTTTATATCAACACTTCAGTGATGCACAAAAGTAGTGAGGGTAATTTGCATCTTTAAATTTTCATACAAAAAGAAAACTAAAAGGAAAGTGAAGATTTTAAATTATGTGTAGGTGTGTTTGTGTGAGCGTATGTTTACCTGAGTGCAGTGCCTGTGGAGACCAGAAGAGAGCATTGGGTTCCCTAGAGCTGGAAGTACAGGTGGTTGTGAGTCACCTGATGTAGGGAAATCAGGTTATTTGCAAGAGCAGTACATGCTTTTAACCACTGAGATATCTCTCTAGCTCCATGGATCTTAAAAAAAAAAAAAAAAATTTATGAGCCAAAGTAGTTATAAGATATAAGGGAAGTATTTATGTTCAGACATTAAAAATCCATTGCATTCACTCTTCATTTCAGCATAACGAAGAAAACAGAACAGTCAAAGGGTGAATTTTTCATGAGCAGTGATGACGAAGATGTTGTTTTAGATAAAAGACTTAAATATTACAGATATCCTCGGTCAGTTTGGAATTACCCTGTAAAGACACCAATATCTATCTCCACAGAATGGCATGGATATAAAAAGAAGGACCACATTATTAGTGTTGGAAAAGATATTAACAGCGACGTAATGATTCACAGAGATGACCAGAAGGAACTGAGGGCCCCTTCTCCATACTGGACAATGGTAGAGCAAGAAAATGCCATCTCCTCCTCTTCCTCCACTGCAGAGTCTTCCTCAGATGCCTTCTGGCTGGAGGACTATGCTCAAGTTGAATAGGGTAAAGGTCAACCAGTACCAAAGGTTGCTAGTAGCAGTTGCAAATCTATGACCATACAGTGTTTTTTAAAAATACCCAATTTTTATACCTTACCAGGTATAGCTTTTGCAGGAATTTCTACACAAGTATGTGTAGAATTAGCAATTCTTGTCTATGATTGTACAGAAAAGCCTTTATAATGAGAGCTAAAGACTTCCCTGAGGTCTCACAGGCCTCATAAATCTATTCTCAAAATAGCATCATAAATCAGGTCAGCAAGACCCCCTTTCTAAGTAAGAATTTCTCATCATTTACAAAATGTAGAAAAGGAACCCAATCATAAGAGTGTCTGAACATTTGCTTCTTAATAAACATTCCTCTTTATATATTTTTTGGCTGACTGTTCACATCAGGACCCCTGAGCCTACCTTTTCAGTCCTATTTTAGTTGGAATGCTGGACTGATAGTTAATGATTTAAAGGAGACATAATTAAAACACAAAAAGAGACAGGAGAGGAACACTGCTACAATGAAGGTAAATGAGGCACACAAATGAGGGAGCAGGCCTACAGCAGGTACACAGGATGAGCCACAGGGAATTTATGCTGCCTAGAAATAACTTCATTGCAAAAAGGGGGTAAAAACAAGACCATTCAACTGCTGTTACCCCAAAATGAGAAAATTTAAATTTAGTATCCTTAAAAATCCATCAATAATAATCTCCAATTTTTACCTTGATAGTTACTGTTTTAATTTTAATAGTTTCCAATATCTCTTAATGTAGCTGCTGAACTTAATTGTTATATTACTGTTTCCTTTAAAGCATCTAAAACAAAGATCTCAACATATAATACTTGTTGACAACCCATGAAAAATGCAAGAAAAACATTTAAATACCATGCTTTATTGACTTTAGGTCAGCTGTGAATAACTATTCACATTTATGTTTTAAGGTATTTTACCTCTCTGAGAAAATGACCAATGTTAAGAGACTCTGATTTTGATGTTATTTGGTGGTCGGGGATCTCTTCTCTGTAATATGTGTTTCTGTGTTACAACTCGTCAAGGAAAGGCGTATGTCCCAAGTTCCCACTTGCTGCCATTGACTTCTGGCCAGAAACAAACTTTTTTGCAGCCTTAAAACAAAGGACAGAAAGTTAATAATAATGTATCATCAAGTAGGTAAACTAGTCATTTTGAGTAATACAGCCTCTTCAGAAAATTAACTATGAAATGCCTAGTGCTTTATTTTGTTTGAATATGAATAACATCATATGTACAACTAATCAAACAAGAGTTCTCTTGATAAGAAGATAGTTTTGAAAGAGGCATAAGGAAAATGTCACTGGCATTCAAAACCAGGGAAAAAGGGTTTTTAATTCTGTTATGATTTCAATATGTCTGGGTCAATCAAAATACCCCAACTGTTAACATAAAAGTTCAATTCTTATGTTCTGATTTTTTTTTTCTTTTAGCATGGGACAGAGAGGTACTTGTGGTGGTACTGAGGCAGGGTCTTGTATGGAGCCCAAGCTAGCCTAGAATTCACAGACTTTTTGCTTCAGCCTCCAGAATGCTGGGATTCTAGGCACATGCTACCACACATGGCTGTCCTGGTATTTTTCATGTCACCATTTAAAATTTGAAGGTGAGTTGTTTAGATTAAGTATGACACCACAGGACAGGCCTAGGTAGAGCAGGAGACCTTACATTACCCTAGTTTAGCTTTTCTAATGCAGGAGAGATAGGGTGGAGGCAGGTGAGTGAGAACTCACAGAGCCATCACACTTAAGTATAGCTATTTAGTAGACTATGTCATAATGAATTTGGGGACCAACTGAAAAGAAGTCAGCGTTAGTATCTAAAAACAGCCTCATCTCTTTTTCTGTTTCATTGTCTGTATACACTTGGTGAGAGGATGACTGAGATATCCACAGTGGAAAGGTGGGTGGTATATTTAATGTAGAAAGGCCCCGGCAAATCCAGTCATACTAGATTTATTTATTCTGGAGTTCACCTGTTTTATTAGTCCTCCAAACAACTCTATCTTGTAGGGAACAATAATGTATGAGAAAGGCTGGGGAAAAAGAACAGAAGAACGTCTTAGACTGAAAAGAGTAAAGAAAGCCCTCAGATCCTGGATGGTAGAGAGGAGAAATAGTCACTAACTAGTATTTAGGTAAAATCCATAAAACTGCCAGTACTTGTTTCTTCTTGACCTCTAAAGTTTAGAATGGTTTAACCTGGTGGTCACTTATTTGAATGAGTAAGATTCATGAACCTATGGATTGAAAGAGGAATTATCTGCAGACCTGATGGTAAAGAGCCCTTCTGTTCCCACAATTCTTCTGAAAGTGGATCATTAAGGTTACGTTCTCTGAGGTTAAATCAGAAGATTTCATTTGCTTACATTTATGACATCCCCATCAGCCACTGAATCAATTTGCTGAATGACAGTAGATGGTGGTGTGTAAGACCCAGCAAGCAGAGCCTGTGACCCAATTTCATTCAGGAAACCCTCTGAAGTCTCCACAGACATTAGATATCCAGCTTTCACCTTGCTCCTGTCCAATAAAAAGTGGGAGTCAGTTTTTTTGTGGTTCGATTTTACATTTATTTTTATTTTATGCAAATGTTTGCATGAATGTATGTATGTGTATCACATGCATACAGTGCCCATGGAACCCACAAGAGGGTGTCAGATCCTCTGGAACTGGAGTTACAGACAGTTGTGCGCCATCATGTGGGTGCTGAGAACTGAACTCTGCTCCTCTGTAAGAGCAGCAAATCCTCTTAATCATTGAGCCATCTCCCGTTCCAGGAGTGTTTTATATAGCAAAGCAAGTTTTAAAGTAGGTACCTCAAACAGGGTAGTAGCTGAAAAGAGTTGTATTTCTTCAGATTGCCAAGTTTTTATTATGTACACTTTAATTTGGGAAGCTGTCAATGCAAAACAGTACTCAACATTCAACAGGCTACCTTTTGACTTTAGATTCTAACTTAGATCTAGGTAAAACTTATTGGTTTATGAAGCAACTTTTACCATATGACTGTATTTTTAGTGATAATTTCAGGCATTTCCAAAGAAAAATCTCCTCATGTGGGCTCTTAATGTATTGTCCATTTGGCTGTTGATTTCACACACACAAACACAGAGCACCAAGTGCTACTTCTCCATCAGGATTTGTCTCAATGAAGGAAGGGTATGATGGAGAAGGTAGGTAGAAAAGAACAGTACCAAGTCTTCTAAGCCCCACAGCTTAAATATGGACACAAAAGCATCATTCTGAATAAAGATGAAACCCAATTCACAATTCTTCCATCAAGAAATTATTCCTTACAAACATACCTTCAAAAATCACTTGAAATAGCTAAACCTTAAATGAACTATCATCCATTCCCATTCTATAGCAAGACTTCCATTTAGATGTTATAACTTAGTGACTTAGTGCAGCAATTTTACTACCCTATTATCCTTTTATGTATTATTTTATGTATATGACTGTTTTGCCTGCATGTAAGTACACTGTGTGTGTGTGTGTGTGTGTGTGTGTGTGTGTGTGTGTGTGTGTGTGTGTAATGCTCCGCAGAGGCCAGAAAAGGGTGTTGGATCCCCTGGAACTGGAGTATGGATGGTTGTTAGCCACCACGTGGGTGCTGGGAATGGAACCTAGGTCCTCTGGAAGAACAGCAGGTGCTCTTAACCACTAAGCCATCTCTCCAGCCCTCACACTATTATCTTAAAAAAAGATTTTGATTGTTGTTGTTTTGGTCTTTTTGAGACAGGGTCTCTCTGTAGCCCTAGTTAGCCTTGAACTCAGAGATCCATCTGCTCTGCCTCCTGAGTGCTGGGATTAAAGGTGTGCCTCAACCATGCCCAGCCAAAAAAGAAAAAAGATTTTTACCTGTAATAAATTTTACCAACATGTTATTAATTTTTCCTTTCAACATTTGACACCTTAGTTTCTCTTTCATTATAGGAAGACTAAGCACCTTACAAGAAAAAGTGAAATTCAATCAAAATGAGAGAAAACTTATTTTGCCATTATTAACCCAAATTTCATTAAAAATTTATTTATATATATATTTTTATATTTATTTTATGTGTATGTGTATATTGCCTGCATGTAGGTAAGTGCACCATGTAGTGCAATGCCCGCGGAGGACAGAAGAGGCTGTTGGATCCCCTGGAACTGGAGTAATGGACAGTTGTTAGTTGTCATGTGGGTGCTGGGATTTGAATCTGGGTGTTCTGCAAGAATAGTCAGTGTTCTTAACCGCTGGGCCATCTCTCCAGCCCCTATTTATATTTTATGTGTATGAGTGTTTTGTCTGTATGCTGTTCTGTGCAATGCCCATGGAGGTCAGAAGAGGGTGTGAGATCCCTTGGAACTGGAGTTATGGATGACTGTTAGCCACCATGTGAGTGCTGGGAACTGAATCCAGGTCCTCTGCAAGAGCAGCCAGTGCTCTTAACCACTGAGTCAGCTTTCCAGGGCCCTAAATTTCATTTTCTACATATTGTCCATACTTAAGCAAATAAATTTTGTTAAATAAATCAGATTTTGATTTAGATCCTTCTTAATTCAGCATTTGAATTTATTCTCACTGTATTGTGTTTCTGAGGGATTATATACATTTAATAAGATATAATTTTCTAGTATCTCAGCATAAAAAAAACTAACCAATATTAATGGGAACAGAAATGTGGTGGTTTGAACGAGAATATCCCCCATAAGCTCCAAGTATTTGAACATTTTGTCCCCAGTTGGTGGTACTGTTTTGGGAGGTCTTAGAAGGTGTGGCCATGCTGGAGGAAACATGTCACTGGAGGAAGTGGCCTAAAAGAGTTACGGCTTGCCAGATCTCCAGTCACTCTCTGCTTCCTGTGCCTGCTTGAAGATGTGAGCTTCTGCTTTCTGTTCCTACTCCAGGCACCTACCTCTGCTGCCATGCCTCCCTGCCATGATGGACTGACTCTTGTACCTTTGGAACTGTTAAACTAAATAAACTTTTTCTTTTATAAGTTCCCTTGAATCATGATGGTTCTATCACAGCAACAGAAAAGTAACCAATACGAAGTGTTAAAGGTCACTCCATCCTGGTTGTAATGCACACTCTGTCATTACAACACTAAATGATTATAAATGAGCTGCAAGAGTCAAATCTTGAATTATCCTAAGCAGATTGTTAATTTAAACGTCTGTAAAAATGCAGGTTGGTTTTAACTTTGCCTGATGTCTGTCTTTGTTAGTCAGAGGAACTCCCTAAAAAAAATGAGGGGTGGTGGTGCTAACACATTCAATCTGGTCAATGAGAATTTAAAAATCATCAAACAGCAGAAAATTATTTTAGTTGTTATTTAAAAAATACAAAACAGGGTGGGGCATGGTGAGGCATGCCTTAATTCCAGCACTCCAGGGGATCTCAGTGAGTTCTTGGCCAGCCTGGTCTACATAACAAGTTCTAGGCCACCCAGGGATATACAGTGAGACCATTTCAAACAATCAACCTAAACAAACCAAATAATCATGTATCTTAAGCCCAGTTGGGAATCTATACCAAGAAAGAACAGTTGATATTGGGTACCCATGGTTCACGGACAGCAAAATCCATAAAATGGATATTTACATACAAGCTATATACAACCCCTTCTGTACTTTAAATCATTTCTAGATTGCTTATAATACTTAGTACAATATAAATACTATGTAAATAACTACAATACTGCATTGTTTAGGGAAACAATGTCTGCATGAATTTTGTTCCTCAAATATTTTTTATTTGTGGTTGGTTGAATCTGCAGATGCAAAACCTATATAGAGGGCCAACCATAATTAATATAAAATATAAAAATGTTTTAAGCTCAAAGATATCCTTTACAGCTTAAAATTTACAACTGCAGATAATGTCTAGCAAGTATGTATATATATTATGTGCATATGTATGCATATATATCTGTATGTGTATATGTATGTATATATAGTCCTCCTCCCCAGACAGGGCCTCAAACTCACAATCCTCTTGCCTCAGCCTCTTAGAGTACTGGGATTACAGGCACGTAACACCATGCCTTGTTGGCAAGCATATTTTGACACACTAATATTGTTTATAGACAGGTCTTTAGTACTCTAAGTAAATTGAAGCATCATTATGATATTGGTTGGCAAGATGGCACAATGGGTAAAGGCCCTTGCTGCAAACCTGATGACTGGAATTTGATTCCTGGAAGCCAAGTAGTAGAAGGAGAGAACCAACTCCTGCAAGTCATCCTCTATCCTCCACAGGTGTACTGCGGCAAAGACACTGCCACCCCCCCACGCCCATATTTAAAAATTAAAAAAAAAAAGGAAATCAGTGGCAAGGGAATGATTATTTTTGTCTTTATAATTTTCAAATTTATATAATAAGCATGCTATGTAAGTAAGATACACATATATATCTACACATATATATCTACACAATGAACTCACTATTTTTTCCAAAATGAATTATCAAGGGTTGGAGAAGTGGCTCAGCAACTGAAAGGGTATACTGCTCTTGCAGGACCTGAGTTTGGTTCCTAGCACCCACATCAGGTGGCTCACAACCACCTTGAGGTCCAGCTCCAGAGGGACACACACACACACACACACACACACACAATTTTCCCCCTCAGAGAACTAAAACATGGAACACATAAACATAGAAACTTACTTGGCGGCTTGGATATCTGCACTGGAAAGGTTTCCTTGAGAAATTGACTTTACTTGGCTGTAGGCAGCCTTGATAACCTAGGACACATAAGCAAAAGTTGGTTATCTGTGGCCAAAGCCCGAGTCTCCTGAGGTTCTTCTCCTGAGGCAAACACACAACATGGAATGTTACTTCTGGAAAAACAGCAGTGTCCATTGGGAATTCTATAGTCACTGTGTTTTTCTGGGAGGTTATAGAACACTTGGGACATGGGGCCTGGCTAGCAGACATAGTATCTGGAGTTACAGCCAGTCCTACTCCTGGTCCACTTCTCTCTGCATCTTGATTCACTAAGATGTGAGGGGTTGCTGCTATACCCACACCACCATGAACTCCTCCATTGCCTTCCTTACTATGATGGAAACCATGAGCCAAAATAAATCTTTAAGTTCCCTCTGTCAGCTGTGTCACAGCAATGAGAAATGTAGCTAACAGACAGACCAATATCTAAGCAATCAAGTTTCTTTCAAAACAAGTGGCACTGTGCAGGAACTGGTAGAAGAGATGGTTCTTCTCGAGGAAGAGCGCACTCAGAGGGTTATGCAACTAACATTACAGTCTCTATTTACTAGGATGCTGTCCATATACAGCTAGTCTGTAAGGCTTGTACAGACCTCGAACACCAGGGAAACTAACTGAAAGGTGAGAAACTGAAAGAATCAAAGACCCACTGGAGTGAGTACTTGGTACATATTTGCTGAACACATAAATTAGGAACCTGTTCCATGATCTTCTTCATCCCAATCCTGGCACCACTCTGGATCTGTGGCTTATAGCGCTCTATTATCGCCTATATTCTAAAACTTTGATTTTTCCTCTCTGTTCATTACCCATTCCCATAGCCATACTCCAGACCTGAACATAACCTAGAAAATCCTGACAGTTTCCATTCCAAAGTCGTTAACCACACTGTCCTCATTCTCCCACTTTATCAAGATCTCTAGTATCTCAATTTGCCTACTTCTTCGAGAGCTGTTAGGCTCCACAGGCTCCTCAAACTGGCCAACACCCACAAACCATCCATTCACTCTCTCCTGCCAGTGTTCCCAACTACTTCCGCCCTTCCTCATTCTAATGTACCCACTTTCAGGACTCCTACCTGGCCTGACTCCTATTACCACCTCCTTCATTTCCCTACTAGAGTAGTGAATGCCAGTGAAGAAAATGGCAAACTAGACCTGGCTGATTATACTATGAATCCATCATCATTCATTTCAAGGAGGCACTGTTGTAGCTGTCCATTCTGTGTATGCATTTAGCCATTCATTTGTCCCTAATTTCATATCTTATTTCAATCTTCTCTCACCCTCAAAGCTGCACTTCCTCATCTTGGGACAGTGTCCCAGGGTTAGCTTTTGTTGCTGAGGCTGAAATGTTTTCAGTGTTCTTGCTTCTACTTGCTCCTGCTTTCCCAGACTTGAGCCATTTATTGTTCTCTAACTCCTGTATCTGCTCTAACCTATCTTTCCTTCATAAATATTTCTTTCAAATTAAAACTCTCAGTTAATGACATTTGTATATTGTGGTTTAAACAATACATCTAATTTCTGTTTTTTAAAATTTACATTTTTATTTTATGTGTATGAGTGTTTTGCCTGCATGTATATAAGTGCATCATGTGTGTGTGCCTGGTGCTCTTGGAGGCCAGAAGAGGGCATCAGATACCCTGGAACTGGAGTTTAGTATGGTTGTTAGACACCGAACCTGGGTCGTCTGAAGAGCAGTAAGTGCTCTTAACTGCTGAGCCATTTCTCCACCCCTGTAATTCTCTGTGTTTTACACAGGTAATAATACAGCACCATAAACATTCTATGTCATTCTAGCCCCCAAATAACCTTGTGACCAAGGATGACCTTGAACTTTTGATCCTCTTGCCTAGTGCTGAGGTTATGAGGTTGGGATCACAGGAGTATACCACACCACACCCAATTTATGTGGTGCTGGTGACTGAACCTAGGGCCTCATGCATTCTAGGCAGGAACTTTACCAACAGACCTACATCCCTAGTCCTCTTACATCTTTTATCCACAGCCCTGACCCCTGATTTCAATACAATCTCTATAATGAAGACCTATAGATATGCATCTTGGCTTGACCTCTCCTGGGTTCTGAAATACAGATTTGTCAGAGCCAAGTTAAAGTCACTGGTCCCAAGGAAGCATCATCCCTTCAAGTATTAGTATACATTTTTAAGCTTTCCCCAGGGCAAACAATTCAATGATGTCACACCACAGAAATCGGAGACAAATCATGATGTTTAAAACAATTTGCATTAAATTAAAACACATTAATGAGAAAAAAAACTCTTTGGAGTTAATGAATTTGTAACTTACATCTCCAGCAGCTGCAGCCTGGGAGATAGTGTAAATTCCAAAGAGTCCAGAATCTGAGTAACTGGCATTAAAAGCAGAAACCTGAAATACAATGAAACTTTATTGTATGATATTTTACTAGGTAAAATAGGTCTTAATTTTCCCCCATGATTGTTTATACATTATCCTTTTCAGAACTGCAGTGACTTAAAAAAAATTTTTTTTTTCTTTTTGAGACAGGGTCTCCCTGTAGCCCCTGCTGTCCTGGAACTCACTATGTAGGCCAGGCTGGCCTTGAACTCACAGAGATCTGCCTGCCTCTGCTTCCTGAGTGCTGGGACTACACGCGTGCACCACCATGCCTGGCAATTAAAATTTTTTAAAATTTCATTTAAACCTTACTAAAACAACTGCTCATCTTCCTTTATGTTGGGTATTTTCTAACCTTTTCTTGATGACTAAAGGACAGTACAAACACTGCAGCATACAGTGTGGTCTAGTGGTAGACTGTGGACTCTAGCATGTGACAGACTGCTGTTGGTGCCAAATGTCTTACTTGTTTTTACTTCTATACTCTAAAGGCAAAGAATTAGACACAAATTTGGTCCTAGTGGTCCCTAGATATCTAAGGTAGCAAGAAATTTAGCCTGTGGATAATAGGGTGAGCTGAGTTTCAAGCTCGTAAAGAACTTGAGTGCCCCAAATAGTGTTTACAGTATTTATGTAAACTATTTACATTATATAAAACCCCACTAAAGTTGTTTGAACATGTGGTCTTTCAGATTCTTGCAAGAGATTTATTAATGTCTCTCTGGATATAGCCTGAGAAGTCCAATTTCAAAAGAGTGATAAAGATGATTCTTAAACACACGATGAATTGAAGATCACTGGTTTAGTATATATAAAGCATAAGGAGAAATACACTTCAAGTTTAATTATAGTTCAAAGACTATCCTAGTCACACTTCAAACTTCTGGCTAATTTCTGAACCAATTTCTATGATGACAGGCTTAGGAGGTCAGGCCTGCTCCAATGTTGCAACACAAAAGCATTAGAAATTTTCACTGGGGAAAACTGAAGCATCAAGGAAACAATGGATTATGAGTCAAAAGAAATCTGCAGATTAAAACCACAAAAACTTAAGACAATGGATTTCACACTGAATTCCAGGAAACCCTAAGGCTCCACACATAAGATTCAAAGAGCAGCAGTGCTCTTAACTGCTGAGCCATCTCTCCAGCCCCCCAAATTTCTTTACAAGTTAAAAATGTGTTGCATACTGGGAATCAAAAAAAGTTCCTCAGCTTAGAAAGTCTGGAAACTTACAAATACATATTAAAAGAAATAAAACAGAAGAATGATGTTAATTTTCATGTTAGGTGTCAAATGACTGAAGTCAGGGAAGGACAAACCTACGTGCTCCACGTTCTATAGCAGAAACGGACCAATGTGCAGCCCTACAATTTAGTACATTTATTATTTTCTTTCTTTTTTTTCTGAGACAGGGTATTATGTAGTCCAGGCTGGCCTTGAACCCTGATACTGTCTCTACTTCTCATGTTCTAGGATTACAGATGTGTGCCACCATATTTAGATCATTGGTTACCTTTCAAAATCATTCTAAAAGTCATGTGGTTAAATACTTGGTAAGCAGTGGCTGCTATTTCATAATCTCTCTCATTTGAGGCCGGGTCTTACTATGTTATCTAGGCTGGCCTTGAACTCATAATCCTTCTGCCTCAGCCGTCCAAGTATTGGAATTACAGAGTATGCCACTATACCCAGCTGACATTTCATGTATTCCTGATATGAATATCTCTATTTTGAAAGTTTCAGCATTTTCTTGTCATAAAAGTGTCTTCAAAAGTTAGTATGAACTGGGCATGGTGGCATACACCTGTCTCTACAGGAATATGAGGTCAAGGTCATCTTTAGTTACACAGCCAGTTTTGAGACCAGCTTGGGCTACATGAGACTCTGGCTCCCCCAAAAAGTTACATGAGCCTTCTGTTATTGTCAATTTTTTTCTGTGTGTGTGTGCTAATTTAATCTCAGACTAGAGGGGAGTATATAAACAATTTCTTGTCTTCTTGCTCACTTGGTTAGAAAATAAAGGACAATAAATGCAGGAAGTAACCACAGGAACAGAAGGCAGAGAGGAAAAACACTGGTTAGAATCTAGGGGAATACCTAACATCTTATTGTAAAGGAAATAAAGCATGACTTTTTATTATTTCTTTTTCTTTGGTCTTTTTGAGACAGGGTCTCTCTGTAGCCCAAGCTGTCCTGGAACTCACTATGTGCAACCAGACTGGCCTTGAACTCACAGAGATCCACCTGCCTCTGCCTCCTGAGTACTACTAGGATAACAGGTATGAGCCACCAAGTCCAGCTTCTATTTGTTCATCTTAAATTTTAAGATCAGACTAATAGATAACCAGGGTAATACCACAACACCATGCCTCTAAAAACTGGAGAGATCCTAACTGCTCAGACTTACATCAAAAGGCTGGTGATTTCCTTTGGCAATAGCCTGGCTTAGGAGGCTGGTGGTATTGCTGCCCCTCTTGACATGTGGTCCAGCACCAAGAACATACTGAAGAACAGTAAATGCATTTGCTTCTGTGCTTCCTAGAGCAGCACTTTCTGCTACAACAGCAGCATGGACAAGGCTGTCTCCATTCTGCTCTCGGATTTCACCTGTGGTCATGTAAGGAGGCGTGAGACAGATTCATTACCACTGGTTTTATTCAACAGTATTCTCTATGACACAGTATTAACTAACTAAGGTTAGGACTTGTGCATCTGTACACATGCACAAAACCCCCAAGTTTAACAGATAAGAAACACCTGAGCCATCTAAAGCTCTTCTGTGAGATGGCTTGGCAGCAGTATGTCTATGGGATATGTTATTACATCTAACAAAATAGAATACTTACTTCCACGGTACTTGGTTTTTGCACCAGCTAAGCCAAGCCCACCCCGCATGTTGAGAAACTGTTCAGCAACTTGCTTTAGGACAGGATGACTCACACCTGTTTCAGTAGAAGCAAAAACAAAGCTAGAGCCAGTATTTCTAAAACACAATTATAAAACATCTCATTTTTCCTTGTTTTAAAATATGTAATTATCAAATTAAACTATGGGCTGGCCAGATGGCTCAGAGAGTAAAGGTGCTTGCTGCACAAGTCTGGAACTGAGGTAGAAGAAGGAGAGAACCGATTCCACAGAGTTTTCCTCTGACCACTGAATATGTACAAGGGCCCATCCCCCAAGCATGTGTGCATGTGCACACTCACACAAACTTAAAAAATTTAAATTCAAAAACAAAAACTCAATTATAGAAATAAACGGTAAAGAAAACACGAGTCTTCCTGCCAGAATACCACTCCTTTCTGGTATCATTTTACAGTTTATTAATGTTAACAATTAACTACTATATTTTTCTAGATTTTTTTCTGTATAGTTATTAATATTATCTTAGTTTTCTTTCAGTTTATTCTTTTGTGATGTTAGAGGCTGATTCTAAGATTCACACAGGCTAAGCACAAGCACAACACGTGGTTCCACCACTGAGCTATGTCCCAAGGCCCTACTTTTTTTTTGACAGGGTCTCCCTGTGGCCCCAGCCTGCCTGGAACTCACTATGTAGCCCAGGCTAGAGATCCACCTGCCTCTGCCTCCCACGTGCTGGGATTATAGGTGTGCATCTCCATGCCCAGCCCCCAAGGCCCTACTTTTTAAAGGTTTATTTATTTTTATTTTATGTGTTTGTAACTCCAGTTCCAGGGGGACTGAATGCCCTCTTTTGGCCTCTGTAGGCCCTGCACACACAGGCATACTTACAAATATGCAGTCAAAACACTCAAACACATACTATAAAAAAAAAAAACAAAACCTTAAAAAAGTTAAATCCTATCCTATCCTGCCCATCTCATTAGTTTTCAGTCTGTTCATTCCTTTGCACACATAATCTCAGTTGAAGGGATGCTCTTGGGAAGCAAACTGACATACAGGCAATCTCAAACTTACCAAGTCCAATCAAAGCCATTCTTGCACTTGTAAAGTTGTTCTGAATAAAGTAATGTAACTGAGGAAGTAAAGAATAGTTTTATTAATTGTAAAGGTAATATTACTATAAATATAAAAGCTATAAAACATGTAAGTACAGTATGGCAGGAACTAACTATCCAGGCTTAAATGCTGTTATAATGGAGTATATAGGATTAATTAGTGCTGAATTACACTGACATTTTATCATTAAAAACTATGGCTTAAAAGAACTAGAACTTGATTGTGGTCATGGTTCTACAACTCTGAATATACTGAGAACTACTGAATTGTATGGGTGGCTCAGTGGTTAAGAGCACTGACTGCTCTTGCAGAGGACCCGGGTTCCATTCCCAGCACCCACATGGCGGCTACGAACTGTCCTTAACTCCAGTTCCAGGGGAATCTGAAGCCCTCTTCTGACCTCCGTGGCATTGCACAACATGGGTGCACTCACATACATGCAGGCACTACACTCATATACATTAAAAAAAAAAAAAAAATATATATATATATATTTCAATCAGAATTGTTACTTAAAAAAAGGAATAAAAGGCTAGTGAGATGGCTCGGTGATCATTAAATGCTTGCCATTCAAGGGTCAAGAGCAGAGTTTGGATCCCCAGGGCTCATGTAAATGCTGAGTGGGCATGGTGGCCTGTCTGTAATTCCAGCCTTGGAAGGCAGAGCTGGAATCACCAGAACTCTTGGTTTGACTGAGACCCTGCCTCAAATAGGAGGAAAATAGAGGATAATTCTGAACAAAACCCTTGGGCCTCTACATACATGTACACACTTGTGCACCCCATGCAAAACATGCATTACATGCATACTATACTACAAATGGAAAGGGGAATAAAGAATGAAAATAATCTATATACTGATTTGAACTTGAAAGAATGGGACCCAGTTAATGACATTTGTATATTGTGGTTTAAACAATGTGTCTAATTTCTGGGTTTTTTTAATTTACATTTTTATTTTATGTGTATGAGTGTTTTGCCTGCATGTATATAAGTGTATCATGTGTGTGCCTGGTGCTCTTGGAGGCCAGAAGAGGGCATCAGATACCCTAGAACTGGAGTTTTGTATGGTTGTTAGACACCATGTGGGTGCAGGGAACTGAACCTGGGTCGTCTGAAAAGCAGTAAGTGCTCTTAACTGCTGAGCTATTTTTCCACCCCCATAATTCTTTGTGTTTCACACAGGTATTAATACAACACCATAAACATTCTATGTCATGTCTAGTATTACTACATCTCTTTTACCCATCTTTGAAACCAATCTGTATAAAACTTTTCTTGCTATTAGGTCAGTCAATACCAGGGTTTCTGTGATGGTTAGTCCTGCCTATCAAATTGATGGGACTCACCTAGGAGACACACCTCTGAGTCAGTCTAGGAGGGCATTTCTAGATAGGTTTAATTGAGGAAGGAAGGCCCAACCTGAAAGTGAGTGGCACCACCCCGTGGGGTGGGGTCCTGGACTGAATAACAAGGAGAAAGCCAGTGGAGCAGCAGCATTCATCTCTCCGCTTCCTGGCTGCAGATGCAGTGTGACCAGCCGCCTCACACTCCTACCGCCACGCCTTCCTGCCACGAAGGACAGTACCCTCAAACTATGAGCTGATAAAGTAGGTTCCATATGAAATTCTAGAATATGTATTTAAAACCAGTCACCTGAAGCTGGATGCAATGATGTACATCTCTGATCTTACTTGGGTGAGAAACACGGGCTGAAGGAGACTGAACTTTTCACTAGTTTATCAAGATGCTGTGCCATAAAATGAACGGTGAACATCTATGGAAAAACATCTTGAAAGCCACAGTATTTTTCCTTTGCATCCCCTTTAGCCTAGGGAAGTGGGACTTTCTGATATATCTAAATTCATAAATTGTCTTTACTTGGTAAATGCTACAGAATTCTTACGTATGTTAATTTTTGTTTCTTTTTTAAAAATTTCATATTATGATGTGAGTGCTGGCATAGATGTGCTAGGGTGCATCTGTAGAGGTCAAAAGACAACTTTCAGGAATTGGTTCTCTCCTTCCATGGTAGGATACAGGATAAAGTTCAGGTCTTCAGGTTTGAGTGGCAAGCAACTGCTGAGCCATCTCACTGGTCCTCAGTTAATATTTCTGAAAGATTAGACAGTGTGCTGCTCTACAGACAGGAAGCTTATATGAGTCTCCTAATGCTAGATATTAACTTGTTTCTAATTTTTGCAATTATAAAGTAATGCTGTAATAGATGTTCTTGTGGATAAATGTGTTCCATGCATTCTTTGGCTACCTATATGACACACAACTTCACAAAGGTGAATTTGACTTCTGAAAAATTTAAAACTCATTAGAAGCTGGTCTTATGAGAAGTGCTGCCAATTCAAGTTATATGACATGAATTATGTTTCTCCCACACTGGACAAATCTTTGCTCAGTATCCCAGGCTGGACTTGAAATGGTGGCAATCCTCTTGCCTGAGCATTCTGTGTTGGGGTTATAGGTTTGAGTCAGGCACCCAGTTTATGCATAATGATTGTGCTGGTTAGTTTGACAATGAAGTCACCTGGGAAGAGGGACCTCAATTGAGGAAATGCTTCCAGCAGACTGGCCTGTGGCTATGTCTGTGGGGCATTTTCTTGATTGCTAATTGATACAGGAGAACACAGTCCACTGTGGGTAACGCCACCTCTAGGTAGCTGAGCGAGCCCAGGTAGCAAGCAGGCAAGCAGTGTTCCTCTGTGGTCTCTGCTTCAGTTCCTGTCTTGGGCTCCGGCCATGGCTTCCCTTGATAATGGACTATGACCTGTACAATGAACCCTTTCCTCCTTGAGTTGGTTTTGGTCAGTGTTTTATCACAGCAACAGACAACAAACTAGAAAAGTGAGTCCATGTCATGGAATTGTAGACATTATATTACTGAGTAGATCAAAAAGGAAAAGACTATAATTTTCTGAGCACCTAACCAGAAATGAAATGAGGAAAACACTTAATTCCTGAGTCAATACTTACTAAGTGTTGATAATTCCAAATTTTTCTCTTTAACTGTGTATGTATGATGTATGTGTGTGGACACGCGTGTGGAAGTTAAAGGAGAACGTTGTGGAGTCAGTTCTCCATGCCCGGCTACAGGCCCCAAATTTTATATCGTTTGATAAAAACTTGGGGGAAGGCAGGGAGGTGGAAGGAGTAGGCAATTATGACTTTTACCTGTCCGTCTAGCTACACCAACAGATCTAACAATCAGTGTTTCTTGTTTTGGAAACAAAGTTCTTTGGCATACATTTATCTATGACATGTGATGAATCTGGTCTGCTAGCCAGCCCTTGAGGAAAAGGTGAATGACCAAGTGAACAGGCTAATATCTGAATTAGAAGGAAGGAAGAGGGGCTCATTCTCAGCTATGTATCAGAGGTATTGAACATTTATGGTAAAGTAGTTTACTGTAATATTTAACCATTTGTTTTTTTAAAAAATACTTTATTATTTTCATTTTATGTGTATGAATGTATTGCCTACATATATTTAAGTATTGAGCAATGAATGCCCCCAGGTCAGAAGAGAGTGCTGAATCCCCTGGAACTGGAGTTACGAACAACTGTTAGCTCTCCTGTGGGTGCTGGGAACTGAACCCAGGTCCTCTGCAAGGAGGGCATCCAGTGCTTTTAACTGTTGAGCCATCTCTCTAGCCCCACATTTGTTTTTAAAACATGCATGTCCAGAGAAAAGGTTACAAAAGAAAATACACCAGGTATTAACATCAAGTTCCTTTAGGTATGTGAGAGTTGTTTTCTCTGCCTCTGAGCCTTTGTTCTCTCTTCCTCTGTCTCTGCCTCTCTGTTTATGTATGTGTATGTCCATGTGTGAAGGCCAGAGGAGGATGTCTGGTGTTCTTCTCTATCATTCTGCCTTATTCCCCCGAGACAGGGTCTTTCTCTGAACCCGGAGCTAGGCTTGGAGCAAGCCCCAGTGATGTCCCCTGCCCCAGAAGGCTACAGGTATGTGTGGTCACTCCTGGCTTTTTATATGGGTGGGATCCAAACTCAGGTCCTCATGGTGGTGTAGCAAGACCTTTACCCAAAGTCATCTCTCCAGACCCATGTGAGACAGTTTCTTGTCCTTCATTTTATTTGTCTTCATTTTCAGATATATCCTTTTGGTCTTTTGAAGACAGGTTCTCCCTGTAGCCCCAGTTGGCCTGGAACTCACAGAGATCTGCCTGCCTCTGCCTAGGATTAAAGGTGTGTGCCACTACGCCTGGATAAGATAAACACATTTTATCATTAAAAAATTAAAAAATTTTTTTATGTGTATGAGCATATTGCCTGCATGTATGTAAGTGCACCTGTGTCATGTAATGCCCGTTGATGGTAGAAATGAGTCAATTTCCCTAGAACTGGAGTTACAGAGAGTTGTTAGCTGCCATGTGGATGCTGGGATTCAAACCTGGGTCTTCTGCAAGAACAGTCAGTGCTCTTACACTGAGCCATCTCTCCAGCCCCCAAATAAGCACATTTTAACACAAAGTTTTATCAGTTACCTCTTCTGGTGTCACTTTTCCAATCCTATAGTCAGGACAATACAAGGAATTAGCCAAGGCATTCTTGTAAGCAGCATCATGCAAATTCTCAATGAGGCCTGTAAGATGGATAAGGTACCGAAATGTAATTTACACGACGACTACAGTACTTTTAAATGACGGCAACAAGTCTATACAAATTTGGGATTCAAATATTAAGAAGACTTGAAACTTACTGTCATGTAACCTCTAGCAATGTTTAAAAAATTCTGCCAGTGGAATGTGCAATAACAAAGATTACACACAGCAGTCTCCTCAGGCCAGGGTCGACCTCAGCAGGTTTTTAACTTTAACCCAGGTAGGATCACCTGCCATGTTTTCTACAACTTTGCCACCCATTTCTTTGGTAAAGGTGCTGAACAATAATGATCAGATTCCTCTATGACACAAACATCACCATGAACTATCACTGCCACACTCCGTCCCACTCACCGAACTGCAGATACCTTCTGTAACACTAAGCTGCAGGCTTACGTTCTGGAGGCCTACGTTCGATAGGCCATGCCACCCTAAGCCACCACAGTAGGCCCCTTATTCTGCTGTTTGTACATTTCTGCCCCCAGCACAAGTTGGATTTCTGACAGCAGTGCTTGTAAACACATTTGTTTTTCCACTTGAATTTGTCAAGATTATATAATTAAACATTGCAAATATCAATACCAGAAATTCTTGTTTTTCAAAAATTAAGGGGTTTGCTTTTGAAAGATGGAGTATGGGAGATGGGGGGAATTAGTTAAATAATCTTAACAATAAACTATAACAATAGAAGTGCTAAAATAAACTGCTATTTGGTTTGTTGTAAGTAAAACTATTAAACTGGGGGTGAAACAAAGAATATCTAAGATTTTATAAGCAATTTGCTTCCATCAAACATTAAAAATAAACAAGGGGCTAGAGAGATGGCTCAGTGGGTAAGAGCACTGGCTGCTCCTGCAGAGGACCCAGGTTCAGTTCTTGGCACCCACACGACTAGCAACCATCCTTAACTCCAGTTCTAGGGGATACAATGTCCTCTTCTGCTCTCTGTGGGCACTGCATGCGTGTGTCCACTCACATACATGCAGACAAAATACTCATACACGTAAAATAAAAATAAAAATCGAGATTAAAAACAAGTACAAATGTTTAATAGTAACAAAACAAACTACACTCTTAAATAACAGTACATTTTTGGAAGGTATTTTCAGATTCACATAGGGAAAAATTTCCTTTCCAAACTGATCTTCTCAAAGGCAGTATCTTGGAAACTGAATGAATCTGTCAATGTACTTACGAGCCTGTGGATTCTGAAAGGCGACAGCTTTGTCAATCTTTAGCTGAGAGTGAAGGGTAGCAACTTCCCAGCGACGAAATTCTGGTGCTGTGGTGACATTGAGCAGGAACTCCATTAGAATCTCACTGTGGAAAAGAAGAGAAGACATGTAGGTCAAAAATTTGCCTGGGGCCCAGCATGGTGGTGCACACCTTTAATCCCAGGTGGCAGCAGAGGCAAGAGGAGCTCTGTGAGATGCAGACTAGCCTGGTCTACATAGTGAGTTCCAGGCCAGCTGGGGCTACAGGCAGACCTTGTCTCAAAATAACAACAAAAAACCCCATAAAACTTCACCCTCATGTCATGGCACAAGTCCGTAATCTCAGCATTTGGTAGGAAGAGGCTGGAGGATTGTGTCTTCCAGGCCAGCCTGAGCTACACAGTAATACCCTGTCTCAAAAAACCCAAGGACCTGAGTGGTAGTTCGGTGATAGAATGCTTTACATTCCTCAAGGCTCTGGGCTGATCTCCAAAACTCTCCTTACCCCCTCAAAATACATAAAAAAATGTAAGATCAATTCAACATGCTAAACTGCAATCTTATATTATACCTTAGGCATGTGGTTAGTAGCCTTATGAACATCAGGTTTGTGAACAAGAAACTAAAATAAAAGTCCAAGTTCACCGAGACACCTGACAAAGACAACTGAGTAGCTTAGTCTTTTTTTAAAATTAGAATATGAAGTATTAAGTTCTTCATGGCATTTTCAAACCCAATTCATTTCGTTGCTCCTTCTCTCCCATCTCCTCTCCCATTCCTCTCTCCGCCTTGTAACTCTTCCACCCCGAGCAGCCTCAGTTCATGCAGCAGCCTCAGTTCATGCTAGTGTTCTACTGTCCTTCCTCCTTCCTTAATACCTTTCTCTCCTCTAAAGGTCCACTTTAATGACTTATACCAACACTCACCTACATACACACCTATTTGTAAACATTAAAAGCTAGGATCTGCATATGGGGGAATGTAGTATGTGTCTTTCTGAGCCTAGGTCTCTTTACAGAATATAAGCTTAGTATTTTTTTAAAAAAGCAGGTTACTTTTCTTTTACTATAAACTTTTCCTTTGAGCGGGAGTTACAGGTAGTTGTGAGATGCCTGATGTGGGTGCTAGGAACTGAAATCTGGTCCTCTGCAAGGGTAGTATGCACTCTTAGCATCTGAGCCATCTCTTCCAGACCCTAAATCTTTTTTTCAATACATTTTTTTTTGGGTAATAAAATAATAGGTCTCATGATGTTTTCACACACGCATGATGGGACTTTGCTCATTTCTGCCCGACCACGCTCCTAAGAGCAGTATTCTAAATCTATACAAATACTTACACATCATCCCGTAGGCACTCCACGGTGTAAGCCATGTTTTCCCTGGTTGCAGTCACACTGAATCATTGGAGATAAATGACAGTAAATTATATGAATCAGGAAAACAAGCCTTTTCTTATAGCTTCTTTGTTAAATCATCCAATTCCTTTGTAAAGAAAGTTACTGAAGTGTTAACAGAAAGTGGAAAAAATATATGCTCAACTAATGTTAAAAAAAGTATTAAAATGGCATATAAATCCACCTTAAAAAGCAATCAAATTCTGACTCAAGCTACAATATGGTTATCAACTCCAAGGACCTTATGTTAAGTTACTGAAGAACATATATTGTAAATTTGCTTACATGAAGAACAAAATGACAGCAAACATGTAAAACCGACGTTCCAACATAAGGAATAGTCCAAATCAGAGAGAAAAGAAGGCGGTGGTGGCCGAGAGTGATGGGAATGGAAGTCAGTTTAATGGACACAGAGTTTCAGGCTCAGTATGTAATGCTAAGGAACAACACTTAACAAAACTTAAAGTGGCAAATTTTATATTATGTGTATTTTAAAATAAAAGCCAGCAAATACTGAAGACTTCCATACCAATGCCTCCATACCTCCATGCTTCCCATACCAATTCCTTTGTTCTCTCCCACTCTAGAAACCATTAATTATCCAGCACTTTGTCTTTAAAATTCTTCCATGTTCACAGATTTATTTCACTTCCTGTTGTATAGTTAGTAAATGAGCTATCTTTTTTTTTTTTTAAAAAAAAAGATCTATTTTTATTTTATGTGTATGTATGCCATCTGGGTTCTGGTGTCTGTGGGGGCCAGAGGAGGGCAGCAGATCTCCTGGAGCTAGTGTTAGGTGGTTGTGAGCTATGAGACAGTGCTGGGAACCAAACTTGGATCCTTTGGAAGAGCAGTAAGTGGTTGTAACTGCTGAGCCACCTCTCTAGCTCCAAACTCTTAGCTGTTGGTGGTTCCATCACAGCTATCATTCTTTTTTAAAATTTTATTTATTGTTTTTATTTTATGTGTATGTGTGTATTGCCTGCATGTAGGTGAGTGCATCCATGTCACGCAATGCCTGTGGAGGGCAGAAGAGGCTGTTGGATCCCCTGGAACCGGAGTTATGAACAGTTGTTAGCTGCCATGTGGGTGCTAGAATTCGAACCTGGGTCTTCTGCAAGAACAGTCAGTGTTTTTAACTGCTGAGCCATCTCACCAGCCCCTCAGCTATCATTCTTTACCCACTTCCCTGAAATGGATGCTTTTAGCTTTTAGTCTATACAAAGAAAGACTATCTGTTGAATTTTTAACGACTGATAGATATTTCTTGATTCTTTTCTAAGTGATTCAATCAATTTAAACTTCCACCAGAGTAAGAGATTCTCTATCCTGATTTCTGCCTATATGGCATTAAAAAAAAAAAATCTGATGGGTATGAAATAGTATTGTTTTTGGTTTCTTCTTTGGGGAATAGCCTTTTCCTATCCTTGTTCATTCATTTTTGGGTAGTTTTCTTTTGATTATGTTTTTTTATTTTTCCAAACAGAAATCTTTTGCAGACTGTCTTGCAAATCTCTACTTCCAATTACTTAAATATCTACTGTATGCATAAAGATGTTTTACATTTTTGATGAAAATTCATCAATTTTTTTTCCTTCTCTTTAAGAAATTTTCAACCACTTTGCTAGCAAAGGAGTTGACTTAGAACAATGTTTTCTGTCATTTTACTATTTCTTATGTCTACTTAACAAACCTTAATTTACCACCAACTGCTTCAATTCCACGGGTTATCTTGAAAGATGAAGCTCCTTTGGTAGTCTTGAAAAAGAAAGGATGCTTTTCTTAATACTTCTTCAATGCCAAGTCTGCCAAGCATCACACTATATCAACACCTATTGTCTGTTATTAGCAGATCCAAAAAGAACTTTACTAAGGAGGTGCTAACTAGGATTTTAGTTATGAATTATTCTATGTATACACACACACACACACACATTTTTGTTTTGTTTTTCTGAAACAAAGTCTCCTTATGTAGTCCAGGCTGGCCTAAACTTTAAGCAGACTAGACTTATACCTTAAACTCTAGATCTTCCCATCCCAGCCTCCTGAGTACTGGGATTACAAGCTACACGCCACCACACCTTACTTAGATTTTAACATAAAATATGACTCCGTAAAAATTCCTCTATCAAATACAAGCTTACTAAAGGTCTAAGTCTATTCTAAAGAGCCTTGTATATGAGAAAAAGCACTATTTTTTTTCCATTTTTTGGAACTATTAATTTTTTTTAAAATTGATTATTTTAGCACTGGTATCAGCTGGATAATAACTTAACGGCTATCTGTAGTCAATATCCTGTGGTTTTTTTATATATGGGATTTTACTCATTTGAACAGCAATCCTCCAAAATTCATGTCTACCCAAAATCTGGAAATTTGAGTTTATTAGGAAACTGGGTCTTTGTAGATACATTTAAGGTGAAGTTAAATTGGATTATCAAGAGCCATAAATCCATTATGACAGGTGTCCTCATAAGAGGAACACCTGGACACAAGGACACACAGAAGGACAGCTAAGTGACAAGAGAAGCAGGGATTGGAGTGATGAAGCTTTAAGCCAAGGAATGTAAAGTATTATCACGAAGTACTAGAAGCCAGGAAGAGGCAAGCATGGCTCCTTCTCTTCTAGGGGAAGCATGGACTTGCTGACACCCTGCCTTTGCATTCAACCCTCTGAAACTCTAAGAAAGTATTATCTTTTGCTTAAGTCACCCAGCTTGCGGCAACATGATATGGCAGCTCATGGAAACTAATATTGGGATGTTGCTTTTAGGCTTGCTTTGTTGTTTTTATTAAGAGGGGGTTTCAGGTAGTTCAGGTTGGCATTAACTCCTGATCCTCATTCCCTTGAGACAAGGTCTTCTCTCACTGACCTGGAAACATCTTTTTGGCTAAGCTGGTAGGCCCACAACCTCCCAGGACTTGTCTCTGCGTCCTGAAGCTGGTGCAACAAGAGCTCAACCATTTCCCTCTTCTTCAGCCCCTTAGCTCTCAAAAGGTCCCAAGATAGCACAGCACTTCCAAACACTGAGCTAATAAAGATACTTACCAAAGTGGATGCAAGACGTAGTAAATGAGAGGTTCCTAAGTTGTTGGAATCCTCATATCTACTGCCTGCTTTAATGAATAATCCAATTCTTGCTAGAGGAGCATAGTTTTCCAGAGAAGCAATCACCAAACCATTTGGTAATTTGGTAAACTGTAATTAAGATAAAGCAGAGATGTTATCAATATCTCTCCTTTTACCAAGGAGAGTAAAATATATGTGAATTCTAGTGAGCAAGTCAGTGGAACTAACCTCAAGATCCTGAGGCTGTAGAGGCACTCCTCCAGGGGCAGCTGCAGCTTTAACTTTGGGGGCAACTTTGAGGGAATAAAATCTCTAAACACAACAAGACAGGTTATACATGCTTCTCATAAGAACAGAGCTTCATATGTAAAAGCACTATATCAGCATTGTCAAACAACAAGGGGTATTCAGCAGTAAAAAGAGCAATAACCAATTTATTAACCTATCAGTCTACCAAAGTCACTTTTTTTTTGTTTTGTTTTTTTTGAGACAGGGTCCCTGTAGTCCCAGCTGTCCTGGAACTCACTACATAGACCAGGCTGGCCTCAAACTTTGAGAGAACTGCTTGCCTCTGCCTCCCAAGTGCTGGGATTAAAGGCATGTGCCACCCAGCTCGAAATCCATTCTTTATATATATTTTTTTGACATGTTTTTTTTTTTCTCCTTTCTTTTTATAAAGTTTTGCAATGCAGCCCTGGCTGAAATCCATTCTTTATATATATTTTTTTGACATTTTTTTTTTTCTCCTTTCTTTTTATAAAGTTTTGCAATGCAGCCCTGGCTGGCCTCAAACACATGATTCTTCTGGGATTACAGGCGTATACTATTATGGCCTGAGCCATTCTTAAATTTCTATTTGTGATTTATAGGTACTACCACCCTCTGTGTTCATTTTTTACTGTTTTCTTTACCTCTTAACTATCCCATTAAAGTTTCAAGTGGTTCTTTCTGGTTGTAATGTTTTAAAAGTTTTAAAATAATTGGACTGATGTCAACACCTTTATAACATTCAGCACTACTGCTTCCCTAATCTGCCAGTCTCACCTCTTAAATTTATTTTCCAGTTGAAGTAACTTCCACGTTCTTAATCATTTTAGTAACCTTTAAAAAAGACAAAGTAGGGGGCTAGACAGATGGCTAGGTGGTTAAGAGCACTGGCAGCTCTTGTAGAGGGCCTGGGTCGAATCCCAGCACTGACATGGTGGCTAACAACAGTCTGTATCTCCAGTTCCAGGGGAATCTGATGCTCTCTTCTGACCTCTGTGGGCACTGCATGACACAGGTACACTTACATACATGTAGGTAATATACTCATAAACATAAAATAAAAATAAAATATTAAAAAGGACAAAGTGTATCAACTTCCTTAAAGCCCCTAAATGTTTCCACTGCATTTTCCTTGTGTACTATACCGAACATACAACTAAGGGTCTTAACTTCTTTTTCTAAATATTTATATTCTCCTAAGATCAACAATACATTAATCAACAGCATATTCCCAATATAATATGCAATAATTTGGATGATGGATCCAAAATGCATTCACTTTGTTGTTGGTTTTTTTTTGAGACAGAACCTCCGGGTAGCCCTAGCTAGCCTGGAACTCGTTAAGTAGATGAGGTTGGCACTGATCTCAGAGATCTGGCTGCTTCTGCCACCTGAGTGCTGGGATTAAAGACATGTACTATCAGGCCCAGCTTACTCCCCCGACTCCTAAATAATATGCAGTAGTATACAAGTTATTCTGATTACATCTAAGGTTCATAGGGTTACTAGTGGAGATACAAGCAAATAAAACTTGGTGTCCTAAGAGCCAAGATAGATGTTGCTGTAGTTTGCCAAGAGCCCCTGTAGGTCTATAATGCTCTGACTCTGCACTGTCTCAACTGCTGTTTGCTGAAAGGTCAGTCAGTAGTGCTGTCCCAACTTGGCTGCTGTTTTCACTTGTTCTTAGTATCAGAAAGTATTACTACTTTCCCTGTAGTCCGACTTTTTAATTATAAATTACAGTGAGCTCTTGGTCACTAGCAATTGAGTTTGCTGAATATGGTGCTGGTAGTCACTTGTGATTTTTGCCTCTGATTTCCCAAACTGTAATTTCATCATATACTGGCATAGCAGTTCATATATGAATAATCCACACAGTTCCATTAACAAGCAAGATTTAGGTGCTTCCAGATAGCAACATTAAATGCTGTGAGCACAATCACCTTCAAGTTTACTGCAATAATTTTACTTTTGTCCTTCCAACTGTTACCTCTGGGCTCTTTTTCTCTACTGGAAAATGGACCGGAGGAGCGCATTTTGGGAACTGCCTGTCTGTCTAGGCTGCCCTCAAAGTACTGTTAGCAATTGCTTTGTCTAGGTGTGCCAAGAATACGACTATAACCTAAATTTGTATAATCTGCAATAGAAATATTTAAAGACAAAGTTCAAAGAAACAGCATTCCCAGACCTGGTCTTTTGCAGCATGGTCTAGCAGTATTTTCAACCTAGATACTACTGGCATTTTGGGCTTGGTACTTCTTTCCTGTACGGGGTTGCTTTTGCATTGTAGGCTGTTTACAGCACTCCTAGCTTCTAGACGCCAGAAATACCCTCTCAAAGGGTTGTTATAACAAAATGGTCTCTACACATAACCATTCAAGAGGGGCAAATTAGCCCTTGCTGAAATCTAAGTGCTCTCCTTTTCCTCTCTTGATAACCACTGCTTCATACTGAACACCAAGTATTTCCCCCAAATGACAACGACATTTAATTTGGGCTTGAGGAGGACCCTTGATCAAGCACTTGGGAGGCAATGAATGAAGTTGCGGGCACTCTGATAAAGGTCAGACTGGCGTTAGATTATCACAGGTTGGGGAGCTCATGCTCCATAGGAACCAAAGGGCAGAGGCCGCAGCAGGTGAAGGGCCGTCCTCCCACCCCACCCTCCTTCCCCAGTGACCTTCAGGAGTCTCCCCGAGCTGCTGCATCTTTCAAGCCCGCCCTTCTCTTCGGCTTTCTAGCATTAGGTCTCTCCCGCTCCCAGGACGAGCCGAGTGGCCCAGCCCGCAGCCCCGGGTTCAGCTCAAGGGCGATCCCGGCCCGAAGCCAGGCCCGCGGCCCGGAACCCGCAGCCCTTGCCGCGCGGCGGACAGGCGCTGCCAGTCTTGCCCCGCCGCCTGTGCTCACCGAGAAGGACCCGGCTCTGCTGAGTAGCCTCATGGCTCAAGCGTGTGTCCGGAACCCCCACGGTCAACGCCACTTCAAAGAAAGCAAGATGAGGTCGGAGGACCGGATTTTCCCCAGCATGCCCCGCGAGAGCGGCGCCACGCCCCCTTCGCCGGCGACGCTCTAGGCGGGCCGCACTCTACTACTCTTGGAGGGGGCGGCCTGTGCGGCCGGCCTCTGCCGGACTCCAAGCCGCCCACGATTTCTTAAGTGAACACGCAGAAGGTAATTTAGGTTATCCGTTCTGTGCTTTTTTTTCCTGGAGGAAAAGAATATCCAGTCTCTAGTCCTTTTCTGTTCCTATGGCAACCCACGGTAACTCCCCCTCCGCGTTGGACGCTCCCCACCTGGACTGTCGGGGGAAAGGGCACCTTTCCTGGGTCTGGGCCGGCTTGTTCCGGTCCCCGAGGACTACACTTCCGGTTCAGCGGCTTTAGGAGCTTCTTTTCTCTCCAGCTCTTGCTTGGTGTAGTTCTCACTGAGTCGTGAATTTGGAGAGAGCCGGGTACTGGCTGCACACTCCTAGGTGGGCCGCGGCTCGAGGGGACGATCAGTTTGCATCCTAGGCTGGAGCTGCCTAGGCAGAGAAACAAATCCTCTTGTTTTCGGGTGAGGAAAACAGCTGTTTTGAATAAGAGAGACGAGAGAGGGAGAGAGAGAGTGTGTGTAAGCAGACTCTTCAGTTTCCATGTTAGATCTAATCTGTTTTTACAACATTCTGATGTAATTCATATGTACTTTCGACTTTCAGAAAGACTGGTGGTGCAGACAATACGTGATAGTAGGCAAGCATATTCTCTTTGACTAGTCCCTGAATTGCTCCATGACTACAACTTTGACTCTTAAGAAATCTGTAAGAGCCAGTCATTAAATTTGTTGCCATCCCAATTTCTATGTCTTCAGAGTGGACCACCAACCCAAGGATACTGTAGATTTTTTTAAACATGTGGTAGATTTACACTGTTGTTGCATGAGGTAATTTTAGATTAGTGCATGAATGAGTACTTCCATTTTAATGGTTAGATACTTTTTATGGCAAACAATTACGGTAACTAGTTTCCTCTTTTTAAGTTCATTTATAAAAGAACAAAAGCTGGTTTTAAAATGTTTAACCATTGGTGATATGGACAAATGACAACTGTTAATAACGTCCTCTTGTTCTTAGATTATAACACCATCTAAACAATAAACGGTGACCCAAGTATCCTAAACGGGGGAAATTCTGTTCAAAACGTCGCATAATTCATGGTGTCAGCTACATAAAAAAACAAAACAAAACAAAACAAAACTCTGACTTACCCGGTGTTTTGGAATATTTCAGATTTGTCTGTTAAGCTTTAAACTACAAGGCAGGAGTGCCATCTTGTGGGCAGATGTACCACTTCGTATCATGGCATACAATTTCATAACTGCTGCTTACATGGCCGATTTTGCCACAACTCTTAATGATTTTATTGCAGATGAGAACAAAATCCTTGAAATTGTTTTGACCTAGGGAGTTTTGAAAGCCCTGAGAGGTTAAGCAGACAGATAGACAACATATATACGTAAGACCAGATGAGTGCACTACTTGAAGACTTAATTATTAATGTGGAATTCATTCTGACCCCATGGAGCAGACTATCTTGAGCTGGAATGTGGTAGGAGTGTGTGTGTGTGTGTGTGTGTGTGTTTGGGGTGGAATAATCTAAAAATAAATGAGATGGTGGGGAGGAAAATAGACCATAAGAGCAGGGTGTGGTGGCACACCTTTAGCCCCAGAATTTGGGAGTTTGAAGCAGGAGTGCTGGGAGCTGAGTGTTCAGGGCTGCCAGGTGCTGGCTGCTTGCCCCAGGAGAGCAGCCAATGGGATATTGGTAGAGCCTATCCTGGCTGACCTGAGGTTGAGACACAGGCAGTTTGGCTCCCGAAGAGCAGCCAAGGGTATATTGGCAAGGCCTATCCTGGCCACCCCGGAGCTGAACATGTACAGGTCAGTCTCTGATAATCAGTCTCCAGGCGCCCGTCTTTGTCTTAGTAATTCTGCTTCAGTGCTGCTCATACAATTACATATGATAAGTGAAACCGTTCCTAGGATTCTGATAATTCTGGCTTATGACTTGTGAGACAGAATTTGAAAAATTGATGCAAAGATGCAAATTGCTTGGGAGATTTTCATTACTGTGGAAAACATTATTTGAGGATCCAACAAAAGTTGGCATTGACACTGGTGACCTATAACTAAGAAAAGGTGCTACACAGGACATGAAAGTGCCTTTGGGTATAGATCTGGTAGTAAAGAAGAAAGGAAAGTCCGATTGCTTCCTACATCATTCAAACTTAACTGATAGTTTAGAATGATTCCAATAAAAGTTTGCTGGAAGAAAAGACTGAAGTCTCAAAGAATAACTCACCATGAAGGTCTAGGCTAATGTGGACTCCATGTGAAGTTTTGAGTAGGCAGAAAGAGTTTGTGTTATGTGTGCATTGCTAAAGCTCGGATGTTCAGCTGCCTACCTGGGGATGCTTCATTGGGAACAATAATTGAGCATAAAAGAAAAATCTATATATTACTCTAAAAAGTTGTGATGTTTGAATCTGTCTATTTTCATGAGTACTTGAGAGTCTGGATCAGTAAGGACAACCTGATAGTAAAGGTTAGTCACTATGGCACTGCAGGACAAGTTTTAATAGCAGCGGAAGCTAGGCCTAGTGGCACATATCTTTAATCCTAGCTCCTGGGAAGCAAGATGAGCAGATCCCTCGAGTTCCAGATTAGCCTGGTCTACGTAGTAGCAGGTTCCAGGTCAGCCAGGACTACACAGTGGAACCCTGCTTCAGAAAAAAAAAGCAAAAACAAAACCCAGAACCAGTAGAAACAAAAGAATCTTTAGAATGCCCTCTCCAGCCATCTGACCTAGGAAGGGGGATTGCCTTTCTTGGACTTGAGGAACCCCTTAGGTTCTTGAGGAATTCAAGGAGGAGAGTATAGAGAATAGCACTTGGAAAAGTAGCAAGATTTTCAACTGAACTGGATAGTTCAAGAGCCAACAAGCTAATTGGAAAAACCAAAGCTATGACACTGTATCTGAATGCTCGGATCCCTAAAGATAAAGGCCTTGAAGCCCCGAGATGGAAAGTGGGGTTAGGTCAGTGGCAAAGCACTTGCCTAGCATGTGTAAGGAACTGGTTTCAAACTCCAGAAATGACTCTTCCTCTCTCAGTATTCATCAAATGCCAATAATTCCTCAACTAAAGCTGGGACTTTCTGCATACTTCCCTCATCTGTGCTGGCTTGGGTTTGTACAGGTCTTGTGCATGCTGTCAAAAGTGCTGTGGTTTCATATGTACAACTACCCTGTGGTATCCAGACAACACAGTTTCCTTGTATTCATCTCTCACTTCTGGCTTTTAGAACCTTTCTGCCCCCTCTTCCACAGTGATTCCTGAGCCTTTGAAAGCAAAGTGTGATATAGGTGTCCCATTTAGGCTTGAGCACGGTTTCTTATTTTATGCACCTTGACTATTTGTAGATCTTTGTGTTAATTACCATTTGCTGCAAGAAGAACTTTCTCTGGTGAGAGTTGAAGGCTGCCCTAATCTATGGATATAACAATAAATCATTGTGAGTCAGTTTGATATTGTCTGTTTAGCATAATGATAGTAGTAGTTCTCTTCTGTTGCCTGTGATTTGTCTAGGCACAGTTTCTTTCCCCGATAGCAGTGTCAGGTATGGACTCCCTGTTGTGAAGCAGGCCTTAAATCAGATCAGAAGGTGATTGGTTGTTCCCATAATAACGGTGCCCCTGTTGCACCATTGTCCTATTTTGTCAACTCGGTTGCCACTGTAGCTTGCAGGGTTCACAGCTGGGCAAGGTTGATGATTACCTTTCTCTGCAGTAGCATGCATAGTGCCTTCTGGTCCTATGAAAGCTAGCCAGCAGAGATGGAGTCAGATCTCTTAGAAATTGATAAGGAAACAAAATGTCACTACTTAATAATGGCATGACTGCACACATAGAAAATATGAGACAAAATAGTCAAATAAAAATATGAGATTTTTATCAGTACAACTGAATCCAAGTACATTTTATTAGTCATCTTTTCACTACTACACCAAGGTACTCAAGATACTAAAATTGACAAAAGTTCATATTGACTTACAGTCCGTGGCTGGTTGGGCCAACTGCTTTTGTGTATGTGGTGTGGGACTACACACTGGCAGGGAGCAGGTAATAGAGCAAGCTACTCACTTTGTGGTTTCTGAGAAGAAAGAGGGGCATGAGGGGAGACCAACCTACCACAATCCCCATCCAGAAACCTAAATCCCCTGAGACCCCATCTTGTAATGATTTCTAACACCTTCCAGTGATGTTAATCTATGCAACAATGCAACAAGACTTTGACATTGGCCTCCAGGTGGATGTTCCAGATCCAAAGAAAGAAATCATTAAACTCATTAAACAATAATATTTATAATATAAAAGCCTAGAAACAAATCTAAAATATGGAAAACCTACAGTAGGGTGATTTTTAAGCATTGCGATCTCATGAAAGAGTACTCAAATATTAATAGCTTGGGCAAACGATACCGGGAATGTTTTCATCTCAAATCGCTTATGGAGTTAATTCAATTCCAATCAAAATCTCTGTTTTGTAAGTTTGGTTTGCTGACTATAAAATGTATATAGGACTCTGTACTGCATTTTCTTCCTGAACTTTTTAGTTCAAACTGATAGAGGCAAAGCATGGGAACCAAAACAGGAGCTTGTGATAGCCCAGAGAGAGGCAAGTGAGCCAGGATGAAATGAGGGCAAAAGAGTGGCAGTTAACCCTCCAGCGCTGAGGTTTATGTGAGACTATCCTTGAAAGATGACTGGATACAATGAGGTCTCCAAGACTGATCGAGGTTGGTGTGACATTCTTCCGAATGAAAGGGTGACTTACTATATAGTGTCTGAGAAAGGATAGGAATAAGGAGAGTGGTAGAGACAACATGATGTGGGTTTCAACAAATTGAGAATGAGGAGGCAAGCTGCTTAGGGGCAAGGACAAAGACCAGTTACACACAGGACATTGAACAAACAGGTATACTAAGGAGGAAGGGAACCAGGTTACCATAGGAAAAAAGTGTTCT